GGCAACAAACTCTGTCCTAAAAAGTGACAGCCTTTCTGTCTCCCCTAAAATGAGTGGTCGCTTCACATTCTCACTAGCAGCGTCGGGAGAGACGACCAAAGAGCAATTTACGTCACCGCTAACGTGTTTTGATTCTCAGGGCAACCAGCTTAAACATTCTTTTCTATATTCCCCATTGTGCCCGGTTAATCTACTAGGCCGAGACCTTATGTGCAGACTCAATTTAAATCTGCTCTCAACACCAAGCGGCCTACGGGTGGTACACGCTAGGGAGCTAGCAAATGCTCCATGTTTCACCGGCATGCATGAGGAGACACCGGTCCCAAAAGTTAACTACCACTGGAAATTGACACCAAACCCTGAGATTGCTAAGTTATTAGCCACGACAGTGGATAGAGTTACGCCCGCACAAAATTTGGAGGTCAACCACGCGAACGACCTAAGCTGCTCTCTCCGGTCGTTCCCAGACAATAACTTAGAGTTTGAAAATTCATGGCTTCAGTGTAGTGACGATAGGCTACTAACGGAGTATGTTTATTGGGATAGAAACTACACTATGGTATCTGTGTTACTTAATGAGCAACAAAAACATTTTATCGACCCACTATGTCCCACTTTGCACATAGCTTTGTCCAAACCCACGACTGCAGCGTGGAGTGAGGCCTCTGTCCTTATTAATAAGTGTAGCAATGCTGGGGACTGGACACAGGTCCAAGATGAGGACACATGGTTCTCTGAAAATGCTAACGCCTGGAGAAGTCCTTTTAAGTCTTCTCTCGCAGCAAGCCGACATGTGTGTTTTGATCATGACAGCATGACTTCAGTCCCACAGGGGACAGAGCTCATGCTGTCAGCAGCGGATGCAGAGGCCACGCCTGCACTTCGCGCGGTCCCAGAGGGACTGTGGGCAAAAGGCCCAACCGACGTGGGCCTCATCAAAAATTGTGAGCCGGTTATAATTGTGCCTAAATCTGATTTCCGTCCGTGCAGGAAGCAGTATCCCTTGCGTGAGGAGGCTATCAGGGGAATTACACCAGTCTTCGAAGCGCTACGGGAGAATGGTGTAATCGTCCCTTGCAAGTCCGGGGGTGTTTGCAGCCCCATCCTCCCAGTTAAAAAACACACTGATCCAGGAGCGCCTGAAAAGTGGCGGTTTACTAATGATCTTAAAGCTGTAAATGATGCTGTGGCTCCCATGGTGGCAGTGGTACCAAATCCATACACGATCCTGAGTCAGGTTCCGCCTGAAGCTAAATTTTTCTCTGTTGTTGATTTGGCTAATGCGTTTTTCTCTGTTCCAGTGCACGGAGATTCCCAATTCTGGTTCGCGTTTTCGTTTGATGGGCGCATATATAATTTCACCCGCCTCTGCCAGGGTTTCCGCGATGCACCCACAATATTCAATGCGGCCTTACGTGAATCCTTGGCCCCGTTGGTTCTGTCGCCAGGCACGGCGCTCCTCCAGTACGTAGACGACCTCTTACTCTGTGCTTTGGACGAGAAAACATGCGAAACCGACACTGTGACCTTACTTCAGCATCTGCATGCAGAAGGTCACAGAGCCAGTTTGCCAAATTACAGTTTGTGAAGAAGGAAGTTGTCTTCCTTGGCCACGTGATTTCTGAACACGGCAAAAGCCTTTCCACCAACAGAGTGGCGGCAATCCAAAACCTTCCAAAACCCCAAACAAAAAAACAATTAATGTCATTCTTAGGGATGTGCTCCTACTGTCGACAGTTTATTCCCAACTATTCAGTATTGGAAACTCCGCTCGGTGCACTCATACATGGTAAGGGTCTGCGCACATGTGACAGGATCACATGGACCCCAGAAGCTGAAAAATCTTTCTGTGATCTGAAAATTGCCCTACAAAGCCCACCCACACTAGGTCTCCCTGATCCAACCCGCCCATTCACTCAGACTGTGGATGAGCGATGTGGGTGCATGGTGTCGGTACTTTTGCAGTCTCACGGAGGGCCACTGAGACCCACTGCTTACTTCTCAGCAAAACTCGATCCCGTGGCAGCAGGGTTGCCTCGCTGCCTGCGGGCTGTGGCTGCTGCTGAGAAAGCGGTCCTAGCATCACGTGACCTTGTGGGATACACTGAACTAACTTTGCTTGTGCCTCATGCTGTTTCCCTGATCCTGCTAGAGCAGAAAACCTCTCACCTTTCTGCGGCTCGCTGGCTGAAATACAACACGGTGCTCCTTGAACTCCCAAATGTCACGGTAAAGAGATGCACACAGCTGAACCCCTCCTCACTGCTGCCCACGCCAGAGGAAGGGGAGGCACACTGCTGTATCGCCACAATAGAACAGATATGCACTCCCAGGCCAGACCTGAAAGAGGTGCCTCTGACTAATCCGGATTTGATTTTTTATACAGACGGATCCGCGTCACGTGACAACACTGGGAAGAACCGAGTCGGCTATGCTGTGTGTTCTGATTTTGATACTATAGACTCTGGTAGTTTGCCCCACCACCATTCAGCACAAACCGCTGAGCTGGTTGCCCTCACCAGGGCTTGTGAGCTGGCAGCGGGCAAAACTGTCAACATATTCTGTGATACGCGCTATGGTTTCTCTGTGGTGCACGACTGGGGGGCACTGTGGAAACACCGCAATTTCATGAAATCTGATGGTAAACCAATTCTTAATTCCACACAGGTTGAACGTCTGCTGAAAGCTGTAATGTTGCCCTTAGAGATCGCTGTATGCAAATGCCAGGCCCACACTAATGCCACTGATCCCATCTCTGCAGGGAATCGGCGCGCGGACAAAGCAGCGAAGGCAGCGGCATACGCACCTCTACACACACACACACACTACCTCACTCAAGACGTTGATATTTTCTCCTCTCTGTCAGCAATGCAGGCGCTGGCAACTCCAGCAGAGACAGTGCTGTGGGAAGGAAATGGGGCGCAACGACGGCATGGTGTGTGGCTGGGACCAGACAGCAAACCGTGCTTACCACGGCATTTCTTCAGACATTTTGCAATTTTAGCACATGGCCGAGACCATGCTTCGAAAGGAGGGATGTGTGATTTAATCACACAAAATTGGTATACAAAGGGGTTTACGGCATTTGCACAGAGATTCTGCCAAACATGCGCTATCTGCCTCGCGCACAACCCAGGTAAGTCTCAAATTATCCAACAGGCTGCTCATCCCCCGCCCCTGCGCCCATTTCAACATGTCCAAATGGACTTTGTTGAACTCACACCATGCCAAGGTAAGAAATACTGTCTGGTTCTTGTCGATCTCTGGTCCAAATGGACTGAAGTATTTGCATGTAAACACGCCACGAGCAATGCGGTGGTGAAAGCTCTGCTCACAGAAATTGTACCACGATGGGGTGCCCGGAAAAAATCTCTAGTGACAATGGCAGTCACTTTGTAGCAAAAGTCATTGAGGAAGTAGGTGAATTTCTGGGCATTGATATACGTAAACATTGCAGTTACGCCCCCTGGAGCGGAGGCGCGTGCGAGCGAGAGAATGGCACTCTGAAAAACAAACTTGCTAAAATCTGCGAACAGACAGACCTGTCTTGGATCAAAGCTCTGCCGCTAGCCCTCATGTACATGCGCATGAGAGTCAGGTCAAGGTCAAACCTAAGCCCATTCGAAATCCTCTTCGCCAGACCACCCAACTTGGGCGCGGAACCCCCGACCAGAGATCTGCCAAGCACCTCTTTGTGTGATGACGACATGCTGTCCTATTGTAAGGAAATTAATGCACTTTTGTCCTCTATTTCTGCCCAGGTCAGGAGCGCCCTGCCACAGGCTGCGCAGGCGGCTCTGCACAGGATCAAACCAGGCGACTGGGTCCTGGTGAAGGAAACGAGACGAAAGCATTGGCGGTCCAAGCGCTGGCTCGGCCCATTCCTCGTCCTCCTGGTGACGGACACTGCCGTTAAGGTCGCGGAGAGGACAACGTGGATCCACGCCAACCACTGTCGTGCGGTGCTGCCACTGAGGACCATAAACGAGGACACCGAGGGCGCGGACGGACCAGGCCCATCCGCGGCTCCCTACGCTGAAGTGGTCGGCCGGCGTGCGGCCACCATCGGTGAAGCAGGCCAACAACAACACCCAGAGAATCCCAGCGTTGCCGAGGCAACCCCCCTTTGCCCAACTCCCCAGCCCCCGGACCCCAAGGCCACACCCCAAACCCCGAGCACTCTGCCCAACCGAGTGCTGAGGCCAAGGCTTCAACGCAAATAGAGTCTTGCCGCTCCAAGACCAAACATCGCCATGACCACTAACGCTCCACACACGCTCATAGGGAGCGGTGCCACTGACTGCAAGGCGGCACTGTTCGTGAGTATTCCCGCGGAAAAGACTACCGAATGTAGCCCGCCTAAGACCGGCATGGGCCCTTGGACTGTTATGCTGGCCACACTGACACTACTTTCCGTGCTGACTGTGTTTATTATGTTAATATTGTCTTCCTCTGAAACTCAAAACCCTGTGATTCAAGCCATGACACGCATTACACGCAGCCTTGCTTCCGACGACACTGCTTGGTTGGAGGCCTTGAGTAAATCCTACAAACATTCTACAGTTTATTCACTCAACCTTTGGTATCAGTATGCAAAATACGTCGCAGATAGCCACAATAGATCCAATTGCTACGTATGCACCCACCTTCCTATAGCCGCCGCTAACCCCCACATAATCCCCTTACCGGTGCCAAATATTTCCAAAATCATCCCTCACACCCTGGTTTCAATGTCCGATCCCCAGGGCTCCAGCAATGTTTTTTGCGGTGCCCCCAAAACTCAAGCCCCTTGCCCAGGGAGAGCTGCGTCTCAAATCCGGCAGCCACCCAGGGGAAGAGCCAATCTTCGGCCCAGTGCACATCAAACCTGGCTCCAAATTTATATGCTACACCCACTCCTGGTCTCGGGCCAACACCAGTCTTACTCTCCCGAAAGAGCCCATTCATGTGGGAAATATCCCACTTGAGTTCTGCTCTATTGTATATAGCCCTGCACATACATGGCCAACAGCAGCAAACTTAACGATTCCCAGGCAGCCCCGGGAAGCGTGTGTGTCCCGTACTATACGGTACCAGACATTTTAGGAACGCGGCCCGTAGAGTCTCACATGTATCTGTGCGGATATCGCATGTATGACTGTCTGCCCGCAAAATGGGAGGGACGCTGTGCGGCCGCCCTTCCTGCCGACCATTCATACATCATCTCCACACTCCCTAAGGCCCAACACCGAGACAAGAGAGAACTCTACACACCACACGACCCCCTGTGGGGCACTAATGTACCCGATGACCACAAATTATGGACCACAGGCCAGAAAATAATGTTAGCATTATTCCCCAGCCTGGGTGTAGGTAAACTAATGCTAAGGACGGAGACCCTGAGCTATAGGTTCTCAGGTTTTGTCAATACCACAGTGGCCATACTTGAATCACAGAGAGTTGAACTTCACGACCTACGTGCCGTTGTTCTTCAGGACCGGCTGGTCCTGGACCACCTGACCGCGTCTGTGGGAGGCGTATGCACGATCATTGGGTCGTCCTGCTGTACATATATTCCGGCCAACGATGAGGACGGAGGTCTTATCCAACAGGGCATAGCCAATCTGACTAGACTCCGGGACGCCATGCAAGCGGACAATGTCACGGACACTCCTCACGGTCTGGACTGGCTCCTGTCCTCCTGGCGAAGTGTGCTCATTAATCTTGGTTTAGCCCTATTGACTGTTATGATTTTATTTTCATGTGTATTACCCATGGTGTTTCGGGCCGTTGGTAAAATGATATCCACTCACTTTGTGTCCATTCAACACAGAGACCCTGAGGCGGACCTGGCCGCGGTCCCACTGAACTCCGATCCTGATTATACCAGCGATTCGGACGACGACTTTGTCTAACGTTTTTCTTTCTTGTTTACTTTGTTTTTATTTTTCCACTTGTTCCGCCCACAATTTAGGGGGAGGGTATCACAGCGAAGAGCTTTGACCACACCCCCGTAATACAAGAGGCTTGGGTGACGGCGGCGTAACCTGCCCATCAACAACTCTTCTTTTACTCAGGGGCCAAGGTCAATACTCACCCACCTGAATGTGATCTCTGTAAAACTGGGGTTTTTACATTATCACGGGAAAGGAGTGTGATGGCAAGCGACTAGTATTCATATCTCCCTGCTCCAGGAAGGAGCAACTCTGCCTGGTTCTATTCATATGTCCCTGCTTCAGGAAGGAACCGGGCCCCCCGACACCTACAGACAATGGCGTAAATCACTGTCTCACTCTCGCCCCCCTCTCGCCTCTTGCATATCTATCGGTCTGTATGTGTGCATTTTCTACATCCTGCTTCTCGTCACACCCTTGTGTCTTTCGCGTCTGCATCTGTATGACCTGCATTTTCTACCATTGTCTGTCTGTTCGCACCTATATCCCCAGACGGCGCCAACGCTCCCCAGGCGCCTCCTCACCGGTGGCCCCCCTCCCATTCTGTTGTGGGCGGGACTGTCTTTCGTGTGTGTCTGTATACAGGAAACTCGGAGCTCTGCTTCAGAGCTAGTACATGCTGCCTTCGTGTCTGTATGTGCTGACTCTCCGTGCGCACGTTAACAATAAACTTACGCTTTTGATAAGACAAAGACCTTTGAGTTTTCTCCTTCATTGGGTAGAAACTTCCTTAACAGTGTGTACATAGGAACCAATGTGTATGGTAGATACCTGGTGGGACACATATTAAGGAAGGACACTCCGGGATGTATAGAATAAAGCAAGAGTCTAAACGCTACAAGTGCCTCCCGTCTTACCTAAGCTTGTATCTATGGTCAGACATAATAGTACACAAACAATCTGGGCGAAATTGGAATAGGATTTTACACGATTGCCTTATTGAGGATGGATTCACTCAAAACCCAGCTGACCACTGTGTCTATGCCAAAGAGACAAAAGAAGGGAAAGTTATCATGATCATATGGGTTGATGACTTGATCATTGCTGCAAACAGTACAGAGAGACTGGAAAAGGTGAAAGAAATGCTTGCAGAAAAGTTTAAAATGAAAGATTTAGGCAAACTAAAACATTTTCTGGGAATTGATTTTAGTCAGTCAGATGGGTGTGTAATGATGTCACAGGAGCGGTACACTAACAAAATACTAGAGCGTTTTAATATGCAAGACTGTAGGACTAGAGAAACACCCTGTGAGCAAAAGCTGGAATATACTGAGGATGCAGTAAAGATGGATGACGTCAGGATGTACAGGGAGGCTGTTGGAAGTCTTATATACCTGACTACTTGCACCAGACCTGATTTAAGTTTTGTAGTGAGCAGGTTATCACAGTACTTTGCTGAGCCTACAGAGGAGCAGTGGGTCACTGTGAAGCATGTACTAAGATATCTTAAAGGCACTGTAGAGAAAGGGTTAAGTTTTAAGAGAAACAACAGTGAGAATCTAGGTATACAGGCATACAGTGATGCAGACTGGGCAGCTGATACCAGTGACAGACGCAGTACCACAGGATACTGTGTGAGCCTCAGTCAAAACAGTGCCCTAGTCTCTTGGAAGACTAGAAAGCAACCTACTGTTGCACTATCCACATGCGAGGCAGAATACATGGCACTGGCTTCAACCATACAGGAGTGCCTATACCTAGAGCAGTTACTGAGTGGTATAGATAACTACAAGTACACACAAACTGTAGTACATGAGGACAATCAGGGTACAATCGCTCTTGCCAAAAATCCAGTAAATAGACGTAAGTGCAAACATGTTGATATAAAGTATCACTTCATCAGGTCTACTGTGAATGAGGGAAGGTTGACTTTGATGTATTGTTCTACTGATAACATGGTTGCTGATATAATGACCAAACCTGTAAACAAGTTGAAACTGAAGAGGTTTGCGGGTGTTCTTTTTGGAAACTGATGTGTATGACAGAGGTCCACATTCATTTTATTTTTGTTTAAAGTATAGCAACCTGAGTACAAGTGGGGGTGTTAAGATATGTTCATTATGTCCTCAGTTGTATATGTGAATGTTATGTCATACTGTTATGTGTTATGTATGCTTATTATGTCACACGAGGGCGCTGTGATGCAGGTTGACGCATAACGTCTTGTTCTAGTGATCTTGCCTGAGTTCAACTTAGTGTTAGTAGCTGTATGACCGTGAGACTGATGTGTCTGCAGTGAAGGAATAAATATGCCATAAGGCTAAAGATGGCTCATCTCCATTGTTCCCTCTATTCATCTGAATGCAACGTTAGCTGCAACATTGAGGCATAACTCAACACTGGGTATCAAACTTTGTGTCTCCATAAATTTTGTTTTTCCCAATCTTAAAAGTAGTTTAAAGGACGGCCATGCGTATCTAATCTGTTTATTGGATTGTAAATACATGTTGACTGTGGCCTCCCTGCACATGACACTTTGTAGGGAGCTATCTACACGTGTCAAGTGTCGCTGCTTCAAATACTTCAAAATGTTCTCAACTGGAAATGCTTCCAACTCGTGAAGAGAAACACTGTCCCAAATGGAGTTTCCATGATGCAACCGTACACAGGTGGCTGAGTGGATAGCACTCTCGCCTCTCAGCAAGAAGGTCCTGGGTTCGAATCCCGGTCGGACCAGGGCCTTTCTGAGTGGAGTTTGCATGTTCTCCCCGTGTCTGCGTAGGTTTCCTCCGGGTACTCCGGTTTCCCCTACCACTAAAAATATGTCCAATAGTTCTGGCATGCGCTTCATGTACTGGCGACCCCGCTCCCATCTCTATGTGGAGTGAGAGACTAATGCACAAAAATTAACAATTGTAAACCGCTTTGAGACTCAGATCTGCAGTGAAAAGGCGGTATATAAATAAAAACTTACTTACTTACTTACTTACACAGCTCAATATGTCTGTCTGTGTTTTGGCCTGAAGGATAGGACCTATCAGTACAGAGATCCTTCGTGCCCGTGAAACGACCCCGTCAACCCCGAAGAACAGGTTAGTACTGTGATGGGAGACCTCTGAGAGAACACCAGGCCTCACAGTGGGATGGCTGCCAGGGCCAAACTCTCGTTGTTACCACATTGAGTAGTATGAGTCTGGTGTGTGCGAAGGATCGGTGGTGGCTGGAGCAGTCAGTCTGCCCCAAGGCAGTCATGCCTACAATAGTAACTTATCACAACTGTGAATGCAGTGAACGAATAATGAAATGTGAAGCGTGTTTGAGTGTTCAAAAAAGAGCTATATAAAACAGATGCGTTATTATTGTGTTTTTAATCATGAATAACTACTTTTTTATGGCAATATTTTTTTGAGAAGCAGAAGACTACTGAGAAAGAATAATAAAAGCTTTGGCTATATATAGATAACCACCATACTGTTGGAGTGGAGGTTTGAGCTGGCCATATGAACACAAAATCAAGCCTAGTCCGCCCTCTGGTGTTAGAATTGCAGTAGCGCTTCAAGAAGTTATACATATACACTTTGCTTTCAATTTAATTATCCCATTTTATTTAGGGTTTTTCCCCATTTTTCTCACCACTTATAAACAGGCTTGTAGTGTAGTGTATAAAAAATGAATGTGGCTAAGATAAAAGTCCAAAGAAAGAGAATGAAGATTTCAAACCAAATAACATAGTTCCTGTCCCCTTTCTTAATAGCATTTAGACAACACAACTATAAACTGGCTAATAATGAATAATACTTTTTTATTCATAAATACATCAGAACAACAGAAAGAGAGAAAGAAAAAAGTAAAACATTGTGAAAAAATTAGATAACCACATGCTGTCTTCTTAATGGAAAACACGTTATATTTTGCATACTTGTGAGCCCTGGAAGTAATTATTTAACACTTTTGGTTCTGCGCTGATTGCCTGAGTCAAGACGGTCCACTTTTTTTCACTTTTATGTCAGAAAAAGTAGATTTAAAGTTGCGACAGACATCAGTAATACAGTAAATACATTGTTTTGAGAACCATGCAATGGATTTGATGCATGGTTCCATGTTTTGTGAGTGTTTTCCCCAGCGTTAATGTCTTTCAGAGTGATATTTCAACCGTAAAAGCCATGAATAATAAGTGCAATGCCTTTTCAGGGAGACATTTAAAGCAAAGCAGTATCATTTTAAAGAAGGCAAGCTCTTACCTTTTATTACATTACATTCTGGGCATTGAGAGAAACACTAGCAGAAGCAGAAGTAATGGAGAAGTGCTTCATTGGCTCACAACATCACACCTGCTGTTTGAATAAAAGCCTGCAGCGTGCATTGAATTACAGCCTAAACATTTATATGATGGCTTTTTCTGTATGTAATAAAGCAGGCATTTTTTTATTGCGTCAATGCATCGACTTTGTCTCCATCTCAATACAAATCTCTTTTTTTTTACTCACACTATTTCTTGCAATAAAAGGACTGGCAGTATAAATAAATCAAAATAAAGCAGCTTGCAGAGTTCAAAGTGAAGCATAGTGGATTCTATAGTTGGTGGAACTCGGTTTTGCATTTATTTGCCAGGACATATGTGAACTATGTTTTTTCACTGTTAGAAAACATAATTGAAATGTTTTAATGATGTGATGAGAAATTGAAGGCAAAGCTCCAATAATATCCATGTTCATAAGTGTAATTAATTCAAAGTGTAATACAATTTATGAGAAACAAATGCATAAAGCACATGTTTGCCCCGCCCACAAAATAAATTCAACTTTATGAGCTGTGGTTCAGTGGTACATTACGCCCACAGAAACAGAGGATTGAATTGAATTAACTTATTATGTCATGTTTTGATTGAACATATGTGAATTATTATTTACACAGACATGAGACAAGGAGACATCAGAAGGTTGGATTGTTCAAGTAGAATTTATTATCAGTTTTAAGCAAGGTCCCAGCAACTCCAAAGTCTGGTCCATGGCTCTCCCAGACTAGACCTCTCCTGTGGAAGTCTAGCAAGAGTCTGGAAAAGTCTGCCAAAGTATCCATAACTCTACCAAAGTCTAATTGACACAGAGAGACACATAATACGTAGGCCTTAAATCCTGATCTAACACTTAGACTTTGGAAAGTGGCAGAAGGAACCGTATGACTTCAGTGTCCAGATACGTTGGCCTAATGTTAATACTATGAGCTAAGTATGGCTTTGACATGGACCAAACTTCAATGTACATGAGATAGTACTATCTCTGTACTGTACATTAATGCTTTGTAAACTGTTTAAGGTACAGTAGTAAGCAATTATTAAACCCCATAGAACAAATATTAATTAGCAATTATCACAGTGATAACTAGGACAGTCTCTGCTTATCATCTGAAATTTAATCCCAACAAGTGGGTATGGCTACATTCCATGTAACACTGTAAATATAGTAAATGAACAATGAAAAATAAAGATTTATAGTGAGTACAATAAACTTAAAAGGGGTTGTATGTAATATTGTAAACATATTTTATATTTTGTGTCTCCCCAGAGAATAGGGCACATGCAAATAAATTGTAAACATTATAATGAACATCATGAACAGAATGAGCACTCTCATTTGAAGTAACTGATTGTGGCTCTAACTTTTCAATTTTTTACCTTTTAAATAACAAACAAACATAACAAAAATAGCATCACACATTTGTTTAAATAAAAAAGATAGAAAAAGAACTACTCAGTAATACAGAGAGTTTGTACCATTATAGCTGAACCCCAACAGGTGGATTGCACCATCTATCTGTGCTTGGGTGCTACATGCGTCACAGGAAAAAAAAATATGACATCAAAAGTTGGTTGGGTTGATTGTAATGACTACTGTAATGCCTTAGCATGTTCCATTGGGTCCCTTTAACCAAATCTTTTTAAAAACTGAGAAAAATATGTGACATGATGTTGTATAGTGTCGCTGTCCATTGTCCTGAAATAACACTGCAATGACTTTGACGCGCGGCCAGAATGTGTTTGTAGTCAATATGTGACCAGATCAGATGCAGCTGTCCGTCAGAAAGTCCCTGCAGCGGAAATGAACAGGAGAGAGGAGAGTGGAACCGTTATCTTGGTTTGTTTAAAGCCCAAAAACACACACGGCACATAATAACAGCTCTGAGGGGGCTGCTCTGATCAGGGAGGCGATAGGGCTTTTAGATGATAGCACATTTCCCCAGGAGCTAAAATTTAATTTCCTTTGATAGATGAGAGTGAAGTAGCAAAGAACTCAGCGTGAGAGCGTGCCAGCTAAAAGTAAGAAGACACATCATGCTGTGACAAAGCAGGAAGGTCTTGTTACAGAGATAAGATGATGAAAGAAACAACATTTGTTATAAAATGTGGAAATTCCAAAGTGGCAATAGACAAAATCTATACTTTAATCTGAAGTACATAAAGTAAGATTATCTGTTTTAACAGCTACTGGAGATCATGAATACAAATACAACTAGAAATTTAAAGGCGTCTCACTACCATCCCATCCACACATTTAAACTTAATCTGTAAGTTAGTCTAAACAAAATCCTTCCTGCAGACAAACACACGGAAGTAGACTCTCGGCAGGTAGAAAGTGCAATGAAAAGAAGCTTATGAGCAAAAAATATTCAACACATCAATAATTTGGATGTGATATATATTAGTATAACAATAATATAATAATATATTGATATAATGATTACAGGTTTCACGCCTTGTTCTTTTAAACATATTTATTAATTTGCTGTGGACATAACAATTGAATTGTATGACCAAGATGCAGTGTGTTTATCGTTTGTGTTAAAGCAAAAATACTACTGAATACATTTTCCAGGAGATGAACAGACTGTTAAATATGAGTTTGTGCTGATTTTGCATCATGACGTCATGAGTCCCAGGCCTGCTGGACCATGGAAGAATCAAAATGGCTGTTGCAGGGCTTTGAGGGCACACAAGAAACCAAATCTATAATAAACAAGAAATCAAATATACCATTCATTCAACGGATGCAGAATAAAGTCACTCACAGTCCACAGGAAAGCTGTTCCAAACCCAGAACCCACACTGTCCCACAGACTGAGGCCTGAGAGGACCAGAGACGAGGACCAGAAACCATAGACTGAGGTCTGAGAGAACCAGAAACAACAGCCTGCGGTCTGAGAGGACCAGAAACAACAGCCTGTGGTCTGAGAGGACCAGATACCAGCTCTGACACAGGATAATTAAACATTTGCAAAACATTTTCCGTGTTTACTTTTCATTACTTTCAAGTTTCAGAATGGTAGATCTGGTCAGGCCTGCAGGCCTGAGCATAAGGAGAGCAGCTCCTATAGCACCTCAGCATGGACACTCCGGAAACAGCAGGACATTTCTTTATCACCCATTTCATTATGGGCGTCTGGATGCTGAAGAAATCTATTTGAATTATTTTAATATCGGTATAACCTAGATACAAAAATCATTTGAGAAAAAAGTGATAAAGCTTGATAGTGTTTAGAGTCTCTCTTATGAGAAAAATATGTTGATAAATTGTTACCAAAACAATCAGAGGTGGATGTGAAGAGACCAAGTTCTGTAAGTTCACAAATAGCATTCTCTGAAAACCAAGTCAGACTTTTTCCACTCAGTCTAATGATCTCACAGAGAAACATTAACATAATGGCCTGTGCTTTTTGAAGAATCATTTTGTGTTCCAGCTTGTTCCTTGGACCTGTCCCCATCCCAGGGACAAAAGGGAATGTAACGACCCCAGGATTGCCTTGAAAAGATGGAGCTTATCCCGAAGGGAAGATCATAAACCTGGGACAATTCATTTGTGTCTTCTGTTCCATTTTTATCCAGACATAAAAGACCTCGCTCTCTCTTAGTTCCTGAGAAAATCAGAACCACACACATTGTTAGAAATAGGCAAGTGAAGCCGAGAACCATCCAATCGGATTAGGCTGAAGACAATGTGCTTTGAAAAGGCTTTGTGGCTCACAGGCATCATTTGAGGCAGTGGTGCAGCATCATCAGATTAGATAGAGGAATCGTAAACATTGCTTACCAGGGATTGTGTTGTCGAGAAAGAATCCAAGGAAACCTCCAATAAACATATGTGTTGTTAGTAATATCTGCAGCACTTGGTCAATTTCTTTAACACCTGCAACAGAAAAAATGTCTTAATATTTATAATGTTCAATGGCGCACGTTCATCTGATAAAACTATGAGAGGCATTTGACAAACTGATTCAAATGTTGAGTTGATACAAATCACTGTCTGGATTTTATATATGTTGCAGCTCATACGTCCATAAAGTAAGTAAGTAGGTAAGTAATCTTTATTTATATAGCGCCTTTCACAGACCAGAGTCACAAAACTCTTTACAATTGTCAGTTTTTAGGCATTTTGTCTCTCACTCTACACAGAGATGGGAGCGGGGTCGCCAGTACAGGAGGCGCATGGCAGACCTATTGTACATGTCCATTGTGAGTTTGTCCCTGTTTTGTCCTGGTTTGAGTTTTTTTGTTTATTAAATCTTAAATTTTGGCAGTCCTGCATTTTGGGTCCTTCATCCTTTTCAGAACGTGACAGAATGGACCAACCACTATGGGACTCAGTAGACTGGTTATTTTTATTTTTCCACTCCTGCTCCCTCCTCAGTGCCATCAGTTAAGTTTTAATCTTCACCTTGTACCTATACTTGTAGTTTTCCTGAAGCCACTGCCAGACACTGATCTCCGTCTGGGGTGGTTTACCTTCAGTGCCTGCCTTTGAGCCACCGACGGTCATCCCTCTCCGTTCGGGGTGGTACCCTGGCCCCCTGGCCTTGTGGGATGTCAACCTGGATTCTGTTTATCCCTGTTGTGGACCTCACCCTGCCCCTAACCCAGAACCACCGCCAGACAAAGTTCTCCGTCTGGGGTGGTTGTTTACTGTGCGTCGTTTTGTGCCACCACCGGGCATATGGTCTGCTCGGGGTGGTCCCGTGTTCCCGGAGGTCTACATTGGGTTCCAGCTTGTGTCCTGCTCGGCTAACTCATGGAACTACCTCTCGACACTCCTCCAGACCCCCACCTCCATCTTGTGTTCGGTTTTGTTGGGACATCTGGAAGCTGTCACTTGGAGGGGGGGGGGGGGGGGGGGGACTGTTATGGTGTGGACTTTTGACTACTTTTCCTTGTTTTATTTTGATATATTGGTTCTCGTCTGTTTTCATGTCTGTTCTGTTAATTGCCTGTCCCGCCCTAATGTGTTTCACCTGTGTGTCCCTGTGTGTATTTAAACCCTGTACTCTCTGTTCATGGATCAAATTTTAAAAGGTTCCTCTTAAACAGTGCCCCCTGATATATGTGCCATATACTCACTGTAATTATTATATTGTATTGTATTGTTATTAGGCCCGAGCCCCGAACGGGGTAAGGGCCTATTGCTTTCACAATGGTGAAAACAAATGGTGGCGGTGCGTGACGGATGCGTCAGCGCCCGTCACTCACCAAAATGTGACAGTTGCGTGCGTAAACTCAAAAGCTTTAAAATGATGTATCACATGCCATTGAAACCTATATTGTTTTTGCTCGAGACGTTAACAAAAAAATTCCTTTTTTATTTATTAGGCCCGAGCCCCGAACGGGGTAAGGGCCTATTGCTTTCACAATGGTGAAAACAAATGGTGGCGGTGCGTGACGGATGCGTCAGCGCCCGTCACTCACCAAAATGTGACAGTTGCGTGCGTAAACTCAAAAGCTTTAAAATGATGTATCACGTGCCATTGAAACCTATATTGTTTTTGCTCGAGACGTTAAAAAAAAAATTCCTTTTTTATTAGGCCCGAGCCCCGAACGGGGTAAGGGCCTATTGCTTTCACAATGGTGAAAACAAATGGTGGCGGTGCGTGACGGACGCGTCAGCGCCCGTCACTCACCAAAAACATGTGACGGTTGCGTGCGTAAACTCAAAAGCTTTAAAATGATGTATCACGTGCCATTGAAACCTATATTGTTTTTGCTCGAGACGTTAAAAAAAAAATTCCTTTTTTATTAGGCCCGAGCCCCGAACGGGGTAAGGGCCTATTGCTTTCACAATGGTGAAAACAAATGGTGGCGGTGCGTGACGGACGCATCAGCGCCCGTCACTCACCAAAACGTGACGGTTGCGTGCGTAAACTCAAAAGCTTTAAAATGATGTATCAGGTGCCATTGAAACCTATATTGTTTTTGCTCGAGACGTCAAAAAAAAAATTCCTTTTTAGGCCCGAGCCCCGAACGGGGTAAGGGCCTATTGCTTTCACAATGGTGAAAACAAATGGTGGCGGTGCGTGACGGACGCGTCAGCGCCCGTCACTCACCAAAACGTGACGGTTGCGTGCGTAAACTCAAAAGCTTTAAAATGATGTATCACGTGCCATTGAAACCTATATTGTTTTTGCTCGAGACAAGTCACAAAAAATTCCTTTTTATTTATTATTAGGCCCGAGCCCCGAACGGGGTAAGGGCCTATTGCTTTCACAATGGTGAAAACAAATGGTGGCGGTGAGTGACGGACGCGTCAGCGCCCGTCACTCACCAAAACGTGACGGTTGCGTGCGTAAACTCAAAAGCTTTAAAATGATGTATCACATGCCATTGAAACCTATATTGTTTTTGCTCGAGACGTTTAAAAAAAAAATTCCTTTTTTATTTCTTTCTTTCTTTTTTCTTCTGCACTTTGAGCCTTAATTTGACCCCCTGAACATGCATGAAAAGTTGTTAATTTTGGCCCAAAAATCAGACCTGGCGAAAAATTTGATATTTTGGTGTTTATTTTTATGGGACTCAAAAAATGACAGAACAGCGCCACCTACAACAGCCAAAATAATACCCCTATGGGACTTTTCGGAGGTCAAGTTTGTCGTAGAAACATGAGATTTGGTACACATATTCCTCAAGTCAAGACAAGAAAAAAATATTATTATGGCCCCGCCCTCTGACAAACAGGAAGCCCATAAATTTCACTGCAAAATGGAAAAATGAACAGCAAAAGTTTTCATACATGTCGGTTGGAAAGCGACTCCTCCTCGGCCGTTTCACCGATTCGCCTCAAAATCGCTCCACATCATCTCAACACATGTACCTTCAAAATGACCTCAGGGATTTTTGATCAGTGAAACATTGTTCGAGCAGCGGAGCGGCAAAATGTGACCTTTTTTTGGCCGTTTTTGACAAGATTAAATTTGCTCCTGTTTGCACAAACAAAGTCTGATTTGCACAAAACTTTAATACATTGTTCAACTCTAGGGTCTAGGTCATTTGAAAGTGAAATAATTGAACTCGGCTCATTAGCACCCCCTAGAGATGGGGTCAAAGTTTTTAGTATTGGAGCGTTTCAAGGTCAAGTTTGTCGTACAGGCATGAAATTTGGTACACATGTTCCTCATCTCAAGACATGAGATAAAAGTTATTATGGCCCCGCCCCCTGACAAACAGGAAGACCATAAATTTCACTTCAAAATGGACAAATGAAACATGGTCCTTTTCACAAGTGTCGGTTGGAAAGCGACTCCTCCTCGGCCGTTTCACCGATTTGTCTCAAAATCGCTCCACATCGTCTAAACACATGTACCATCAGTTTGATTTCACAGACTTTTGATCAGTAAAATGTTGTTTGAGCAGCGGAGCGCCAAAAAGTGGCGTATTTTTTTCCATTTTTGACAATAGAAAAAGTGCTTCCGTTTGGGCAAACAAAGTCTGGTTTGCACAAAACTTGAATTCATGGTTCAACTCTTGGGTCTAGGTCATTGAAAGTTAGAATTTTGAAATTGGCTCTATAGCGCCACCTACAACAGCCAATTTAAAAATGCCTATGGGAGGGGTTCGAGGTCAAAATTTTCGTAGAACCATGTAATTTGGAACACATGTTCCTCAAGTCAAGACACGGAAAAAATGTAATTATGGCTGATCCCTCCGACAAACAGGAAGCCCATAAATTTCACTGCAAAATGGGAAAATGAAAACCAATCATTTTCATACACGTCGGTTGGAAAGCGACTCCTCCTCGGCCGTTTCACTGATTGGCCTCAAAATTGTTCCAAATCATCTCAACACATTTACCTTCAAAATGACTTCAGGGATTTTTGATCAGTGAAATGTTGTTTGAGCAGCGGAGCGGCAAAATGTGAGGGTTTTTTTGGCCGTTTTTGACAACATACATTTTTTCCCCGTTTGCACAAACAAAGTCTGATTTGCATTAAACTTGAATCCATTGTTCAACTCCAGGGTTTAGGTCAGGTGAAAGTGAAATATTTGAAATTGGCCCATTAGCGCCCCCTAAAGACTGAGTCAAAGTTTACATGGGGAGCCAAACCAGCTCTACTTATCATATTCATTACAATTTGACTAACAATCTTCTATGGCTACGGAAACAAATCAACACACAACGGCGCCACCTCCTTTGAGCGGTGCTGCGTGGTACGGTGTGGTGCGGCGTAGTGCGGGGCGTTGTGGAGCGGCGCATTGCAGCTTGGTGCGGGGCGGCGTGAGGCGGGACAGCGTGGTGCAGGGCGGCGTGGTGCGGGGTGGCTTGGTGCGGGGCGGCGTGGAACAGGGTGGTGCGCGCAGTGCGGGGAGTCGCGCGGTGCGGCGAGGGCCGTTCGACGCCGCTTGCGGCTTTAATTTATTTATTTCTTTCTTTCTTTCTTTCTTTTTTCTTCTGCACTTTGAGCCTTAATTTGACCCCCTGAACATGCATGAAAAGTTGTTAATTTTGGCCCAAAAATCAGACCTGGCGAAAAATTTGATATTTTGGTGTTTATTTTTATGGGACTCAAAAAATGACGGAACAGCGCCACCTACAACAGCCAAAATAATACCCCTATGGGAGTTTTGGAGATCAAGTTTGTCATAGAGTCATGAAATTTGGTACACATGTTTGTCAAGTCAAGACAAGAAAAAAATATTATTATGGCCCCGCCCTCTGACAAACAGGAAGCCCATAAATTTCACTGCAAAATGGAAAAATGAACAGCAAAAGTTTTCATACATGTCGGTTGGAAAGCGACTCCTCCTCGGCCGTTTCACCGATTCACCTCAAAATCGCTCCACATCATCTCAACACATGTACCTTCAAAATGACCTCAGGGATTTTTGATCAGTGAAACATTGTTCGAGCAGCGGAGCGGCAAAATGTGACCTTTTTTTGGCCGTTTTTGACAACATTAAATTTAATCCCGTTTGCACAAACAAAGTCTGATTTTCACAAAACTTTAATACATTGTTCAACTCTAGGGTCTAGGTCATTTGAAAGTCAAATGATTCAAATTGACACATTAGCGCCCCCTACAGACTATTTCAAAGTTTTAAATGGGTATTTTCAAATTTAGTTTTTTCAAAATGTTTGAAATTTTGCACATACATCTGTTTTGCTCTCTTGATTCAAAAAGTCAATTGGGTCCAAGGCTTATTTTTTACCCTGTTGCCGTGGCGACGAAGAAACTTCTTTAATGGCTTGGCAATGATTAACACTTCAGATGGATGATTAGATGCTGAACTTTGCCCTGATTGTATATTGTGGGAGATAAAAAGTGTTTAAAATGGGAAAAGAGGTGAGCACACAAGCACTTGACTGCAGTGAATACCAGGTAAACCTCAGGTGATATTCAATGGAAACCGCGGGAGTAGAAAACCATGCTTTTCACGTGAGTAATAAAATATATTCTATGAAATCTGCACGGCTCATAATAGGAATCATGCTTACGTTTTACTCAAAGCTGTTTTTAGAGCGATTCAGGCATTTATGAGTAGGGCTGGGTACTGTTCCAAGTAGTTACCAGTCAAAACATCTTGGTTACATTTATTTTGGTTTTAATGGTTTTTAATATTCTCTTTCTCATCTGTGTCCGTTTGTTTGTGGGAGCTGAGCACATTACTGCTCTTGAGTTGTGCTGGTGTGTTGGGTCTGTGGCTTGTTTGTAGTGGTCTGGATGTCATTATAGATGGATGAGCACGGAGATGAAGAGGCTGTAGGGAAACACGGACACACGCAAAGCAGCGAGGAAGATGAGGAGGAGAACCGGAACAACCCAACCTACTGCGTCACTGATGTCCCCCCGTGGTATCTGTGCATCTTTTTAGCCCTTCAGGTCAGTTGTTGAGTTCAGATTTCATGTTGGTTGACTTATTCTATATTAACTATTCAAGTAAAGCTTTTTCGGACACACTCTCTTTCTGTGTGTGTGTGTGTGTGTGTGTGTGTGAATGTGTAACTTTTTGCCAGGTTGTATCTGGAGGGATTTCCCATCATGACCTTGGGATTTCCAGACCATATTCCACACAGATGTTACTGTATACTGTGCCACCCACCGGGTTTTTGGCGTCCCATGTAGACTTTCCCTGCCAGTATCTCGACCCTGTTGTTATGTGTTGGATCGCCCCAGATGCCTCTTTGCACAACCTCCCCGTTAAAAATAAATGTATTCATGATACTTTGAATGCACACAAACAATGCATTATGTTATTCTTTTAACGTATATTTTCTTTGGCCATGCAGCACTTTTTGACAGCGTTCGGGAGCATCGTCTCCATTCCCCTGCTGCTGTCGGAGGGGCTGTGTCTGCAGAATGACCCGGTCACTCAGGGGCGCCTCATCAACACCATCTTCTTCGTGTCGGGGATCTGCACCGTGCTGCAGGTCACGGTGGGGGTCAGGTCTGTGTCTCTCCCTGGCATTCTGTTTGCTGCCGTCTATTGTATATATTAGGAGTAGACTAGCAGTGCTGATGTCATCCATAGTATTTGCCGAATGCAGAAGATGCAGATGTGAACAAAAACTCCCTGGAACCAATTTCCTTTTAATGCGTACTTGTTCTGACAGGGTGACCTATGCACCGTAGTAGGGGCAGATGCAAACCAATGTCTTCCTAACATGATTGCGAAGGAAAATAGAGTTTCTTCAAGGGGTCTGATTGGTTTGTCAGGAATGAACCAGACAGAGACGGATCGTGGTGTGCCAAGCTCTGGAAGTTAATTAGGTTTCTCTCAAGTTCCAGTGGTTTCTGTTGTTTCTTTCTTTCTCAGACAAAATGGAGTCAGTTCATGATTTATATAGTCATTGTTACGTCACACATACAGAGACACTCAGAGCATATCATAGTCATAACATGGATACACAATTAGAGTCTGCGTAGTGTCTTGCGCTTGTCCTGAACTTAGGCCAAATAGCTAATCCTCACAGGTTGATCCCTATTGGTCATCTGGATTTACAAATACCAAATTAAAATGTAAAAAGTGCAAGATCAAGAATTGTATAAGCCCGAAATGAGATACAGAGCATTTACTTTTTAATGTAAGTCCATGAGGAAGGCCGAGCAAAGCCCACAACCACTTCCCTGATGGGCTTCTAAGAGCTACCCGCTTAGCATTGTCCAACTGAATACAGTTCATGTTTGCTGCAAAATTACAAAAATAAGTCACTATCAATTGGTTATTGTGTTATCTGCCCAGAAAAAAATGGTCCTTTTCAACTACGTATATTTTTTTAAAGATGCCATATTTCGCTTGTGATAATAATTTGGGTGATACACCATACAACACTCAAAATTTCTCATATTATAGCCATTTTGTGCATAGAAGCGATGTCTCCTCATGTGAAACGAGTTGAGCGGATTGGTGCATGTGACATTTTGAAACAGCTCGTTTCTGTGCCTCTGGAGAATGAAAGAGAAAAATCGCTCAATAAACTAAAGCTTGAGGGAATAAACTGCTGTGGGCATGTGTATGAAGGCCAAAAAACATTGTAAACATGTTTAAACCAGAGAAACGTCAAAAAGCGTAATATGGGACCTTTAAAGACCAGATTGATTTTTTTCGGCAAAATGATATGTATGGCTCACAACTAACCCTGCTCATCACCTTCAGTTAACTGTCCCCAGAGTCAAATATGGGGGTGGCAGCATCATGTTGTGGGCTTTTCTTTCATCCGTAGTCCAGTTTAAACATTTAAATTCACTACGACTGCAGCAATGATCAGCAACGCCCTGCGCTTAACTACACTGAATAAACAACAATATTCAACTATTTCTTCACATCACTGCAGACTGCCCATCCTCCAGGGGGGTACCTTCGCCCTGGTGGCCCCTGCCATGGCACTGCTGTCTCTGCCCGAGCTGGAGTGTCCGGCCTGGACGCAAAACTCCAGCCTCGTAAATACGTCTTCTCCGGTGTTCATGGAGGTGTGGCAGAGTCGTATACAGATGGTGAGTTGCCTGTCAACCGATGAAGACAAGATAAGAATGATTTTGTTGGGTTTACTCATGCTGGTTAATGGTTTATCTCATGAGAAATAAAAAAAAACATGACTCATTACTGAAAAAAAACAGTGGGGATGGATTTCACCACTAGGCAATTGCGTAAAAATAAAAGCGTCAAAACAAACATCAGACTTTCAAAATACATCTTCCAAAGTCACAGCAGCCCCAGGGAATCAAATGATAATGGGATACGGCAGGTTTATCATCAGCATGGAGCCATAGAACCATTTTCATACATCATTTTACAAGGACAGCTTCATAAAGAAAAGAGCAGCGTGTGCAAAAGCCCAAACTTTAATGGTCACGCTTGTTCCACGGCTCGTTACGCCGCCAGTATGCAAAGTATTGTCCCTTGTGTGTAGTTTTGCAACCCATCTCATGACTAGGTTGCAATTTGGGTAAAATGCAAAGGTTATGATGTGTTTTTGACGCAGTGGGAGTGAGGTCCAAAATGTTAAAATGATAACTGCAATTTGAGAGTGTGTTTTTTTCTGTGATATTCTTTCTGTTTCCCCATTACTTTTTTTGATCGTATGTAATATCACACATGCTGCCTGGTGGGGTTTCTGCTAGAAACAGTAGTCTGTGTGTATTACATATGACTAAATGTAATTATTATGTATACATGTATAGCATTACATAAAAAGGAGCCAAGACCAATTCAGTTATACCCGACCAACTGACAACCGAAATGAGAGCCTCATTCTGCTCTCTGGTTGGATAAACGGCTTGATTATATAAAAATTAATTCGGAAAAGATTAAATAATATTTGTCCACATTCAGTTATCATCTGGAGGCAGAACATTTAGATGTGATTTAAAATTAAAATGGTACATGCGATTTAATTTTGATCAAATAAATGGGCTAATTTTATTGTGGGTTTTAGTTTGTCTCTCTCTCACCCTTGTCTGTCTCGCTCTCAGCTGCAGGGCTCCATCATGGTGGCCTCGCTGCTTCAGATCGTGGTTGGATTCTCCGGTCTGATCGGGTTCCTCATGAGGTTCATTGGACCTTTGACCATCGCGCCCACGGTCTCCCTGATCGGCCTGTCGCTCTACGATACAGCCGGACAGAAAGCAGGCAGCCACTGGGGCATCTCTGTGCTGTATGTACCCGTTCCTCACTAAAGCCACATTCTAGATCCGTTAATATAAACTGTTTGAGCATCATCAAAGTGGACTGACATTGTCATCCAGGAAATTTACTCACAATTTTCCCAGAACAAGGTCATTTTGTGAATGGTAAAGTCTGGGTTGTAGGGGTGTCATGTGTGGGGGGGGAAAAGGTAACGGAAAGACTCTAACCTAAGTGAAACATTTTAAATATTCAATGAAATACAGTTTTCTATTTACAGTCCAAATGCTTACAGTGCTTTGTTATTTTACTTTCAGATATAAAAAATCATAGTGCATGCATTTGTGTTGTAGCTTATTTTACAACAAATAACTAAAAGTAAGGAGCATATTTTATTATTTTATCCAATGCCACGTCAACATCTTCAGAATGCAATACAGACATACATAAAATACATTTGCTCCAAAATGTCCAGTTTTACCACACCAGAAGCTATTACATAATTATAACAAAGTTGTATAATTGCGTTTTGAGGGAAATTGCACAAGATTATACATTAAAGTTTTTTTAATGAAAGGTCATCTAATTAGTTTCTTTTTTGGGCTGTGATGTTCCTTCTGTGTTTATGCTTTACTCGGCCAGGAGCGGCGGCCGAATGACTTCAAACAGTGAAATGTATTCTGACAGCAGCTTGTGGCTAAGTCGCGCTCTGGTCCAGTCAAGTTTACTTTCATCTACACTTGAATTCTGTCACTGAAACTTTGTATAATGTCTTACAGGGAAATGCAGTCAATGTGAAAATTAAGTATGTCAAAAGGACAATATTTTATATTAGAAAAGGCATTTACTCAAAAAGGTTTCAGCTTTATGTTAAATGTTTTTCTCAATCAAAATATAGTTTTAAACATTTCATCTATTGGAGAATAGTGACCTGAAAAACCTTGAATTGGAAAGATTCATTTTTTGTCTTTTAAATAACAAATAGATGCTTTTTTCCCCTTCAAATATGATCTAAGGCAGGCCTGTCCAAACTAAGGCCTGTGGGCCAAATGCGGCCCATCGTGTAATTTTACATGGTCCTCTTTCTTGCTGAGACAAAGTAACCATCTCGACACTTTCACAGTATTTCACGGTTTTGCAATGCATGTTGTCGGCCCTGGAGCAGTTCGGTTAGTTAAAGTGGTTGTTACTCAAAAGTTTAGATATTCCTTAGATCAGGGAGGTCTACTTTAGTCTTTCATTTGTTGACGTTTGAACTAACTTCTTAGTGGAAACGATGGAGCTGAACCTGTACAGTATATTCTATTATCTGAGTTATTCTAAATCTAACAGGGAGACATTGAAAATAATGTAACATGAATTCAAGACTAATATTTTTGTTCTTGAAAGCAGATAACTAAGAAGCCCCTGAGCAGACTTGCGCAAATTAGATCTATTTTGTGGCCGCAAAGTGGGATTTTGTTCCTCCAAAATATCTTTTATTTTTGCAAATGGCTCTCAAGATTTAGAGATTTTTTTTTCATCCCACAGTGGGGAAATTTCAGTCTTTCGATGATTTCATATTGTAAGGATACGTGTATGTTGTAGCATAGTTTGAAAACAGAGCCTTTGGAATAATGTCCTGGATGGATTGAATGTCCATGAAACACATATAGGCTGGTTTTATCTTGTGTAGATAAAGTGATTTTGATGAGACAGCAGTCCAACAAGAGGTTGGAATGGTTAAAATGCATAAAATGTCCCTTATCTATTCATAATGACTTTAATTAGAAGAGGTATCTGAGCTAAATGTAATGGACCGTGAACCATAAAGGTTAATTTAACACCCGCCTCATTTTGGCTTGTGCACAAAAGTGGCATAGCCAAATGTCTTTGCTTATTTAAAAACACATCTTACATCTCACATGCTTGTGTGATGCATCATTTTAAAGCTAGAGCCTTCTAGTTTATGTAAAAAAAACACTAAAATAATGTTTGTCATTCCTATTTCCCTCTTCATCCTTTGAAGTTTGGGAAAAAAACCTAATTTTTTTAGCCTCGCCTAACATTTTCAATTTCTAAAGGCTTTCTTTACAATACTTCATTGTAAGTTCACAATATTCAAACCCTGTGGTCATTGTGTTGTTGACAACAACTGTCTAAAGTTTCAGCCTTCTAAGTTTTATAGTTTTTATGCAGTTTCTCCTTTTCATCAGGTAGTGCACATTTGGCACAATTTGGCACAATTGTGCCAAATTGTGCCAAATATCTTTACTGACATTTAATCATCATAAAAACAATATTTTTTATTATTGGTACTTATAAGTGACTAATCTACGTGTTTTTTTTTTTTCATGTCAAAGTTATTTTTTTATCAGTGTAAATTCATTGCAGCTTCGAGAACGTCTTTTGGCTGCCATTACGCACAATTCTACAGGCACAACATAAGACAGGACACCATTGTCCCACCCCTTGCTCAAAAGCTTTCCTCATTGGCTACACGGACATGTCAATCCAAAATCCCGGAAGTAAATGCAAACAAGTAAGGACCACAACAAAGATCAGTGATCCATGCGCAAACAGCAGCGCTAGCTGTACTCACGGGAGCTCTTGCAGACCCAAAAATTGGTCTAGCTTTTCGGGAGTAGTCTCATTTGAAAGATAAGGAGCTAAGGAACACGTGGATACCAGATGTTTGGGTGAAAAACAAAGCTAAAAGTCCGGTAAAAGTGAAAGAGCAACATCTGTGCTCTTTTTTTTTTCGCTAAAGATAAATGCACATTTTTGGATTATTTCTGCAGAATGGATTTTACTTTGGGTAATACAAGTGGATATAATTTTCCTTTGGACTGTTCCAGAGAGAATGATGTATTGCAAGCTGGGAGGAGAGCTGATTTATTTGTACAGCACAAGCCCAAAGGTAAAAAACTATTTCGGAATTGATTTATGTTGTGCCCACATTATGTGTTATATCTTTTGAATGCAAAGTCTGATGTAGTTTACACTTGTATATAAATGTAGATAAGAAAATAAGCTTTAAAATGATATACAGCTTTTGGGGTTTGGTGTTCCAAATCATTCTTTAATTACATCATTCTTTTGTCCCACAGAAGCACAGTGCTGATCATCCTCTTCTCGCAGTACCTGTGTCGGGTTCCTCTGCCCATCCCCACCTTCAGCAGAGCAAAGAAACTCCACACTTCCAAGTTCTACATCTTCCAGATCATGCCAGTACGTCGCAAACATATACTTAAAGCTGGGGTCCCCAACTTTCAAACTACAAACATTTGAAGTGTGTAAAACATCTAACTCTTTTACCTCTTTCCTATCTTTCCTTATTTCTCTTAAATTGTTTGGATCTATCTCTAATTTTCACATCTTTAGATTTGCTTTTTTAGACAGAAAAATGTATGTTTATTAGTGACTCACAGGGCTCTTTCTTACAAGTATGCAAAATATAACACATGTTAATTAAAGGCACACCGTGTAACTCTTGGCCACTAGGGGCGCTAGACCTGCAACTTTCACGTTTAGCGCCCCTAGTGGCCACAAGCAACTCAGCACTGTCGCAAAAGTCAACAAACAGTCAGCCGGTGTCTTTTGAGTGTGTATTCAGACAGCATGCACTGGTGTGTGTGTTCAAACTGTAGAGACATGCCTACAGATATTGAGAGACTCTGCTGTGGTCAGCCTCCAGACCGCTGCATTAGTAATCTACCACACATGGACTTCTATATCCTGGATGAGGGAGTTCTGCGTCTAGCTCGTGCTGCGTGGAATGACATCTTTGCAGTCGATGACATCCAGGAACCAGGTGAAGAGCAGCGCTCATACAGACATGCAGCTTACAGCACGATCCCTTTCGCGTTTCCTCTTTTTAGCCTCCTCCGAAGGTTTAAAATTTTTCCTTGCCTCAGCCATGACCAGGAGTCGAGCAGGTGAAAAATGAGTAGCAAAAGCCTTAGCTCCATGAGTATATCAGCGCCTGTAGCCGTAAAGCAAGTCTTTCTTCCAAGTCACGTGACCTGGTGGCAGACGGTCCGTCTGCTCGAAACTTACATGGGCGGTATTTCAAGAGGGCAGCCCCGCTCGGAGCATTGCAAGTGTCAAGCGCTGTATATTGGCCCAAGTATTCATATAAAATAACTCATATGTGTCAACTCTTTAGGTCACAAAGTCCGCGGTGTGCCTTTAAGAAGAAGATTGCGCATTATGGCTCTTTTTGTTCACAACATTTTACTTTCACAAGACTATTCCTGTTGGAACTATAATAAAAATAAGTTTTAGAGAGATTAGGATTAGTCAATAAAATAAATCAAATCATATGGCAACAACTCCAATAACAACTTCTTACGCAATGCTCATATGTTTTTGAAGTAAACATATGAATTATTTATTGTGGCCAAACCTGCATGTGGAAGCCAGATTCTGTCTGACCTCAGATGCTAAGCAGGGCAGGGCCTGGTGAGTACTGTGATGGGAAACCTCTGGGAACACCATGCCAACTGTTGCGTCCTTGGGCACTTCGTCACTTCACCAACATTGTCTAGTATGAGTCTGGTAGTTGCGGGACTGGTTGGTGGTGTGTCCCAAGGCAGCTATGGCTACAGTAATAGTTTATCGTCACTGAGTAAAGTTCTGTTATAAAAGGCAAGTAAACGCACACACTGTCAAATTAGCTGTATCCTGCCCTGGAAGCACATCCTCATCCCCACACACAGTTTGGTTGAGTGGAGTGTTTCTAATGGCAGATATTGATAGATTCTTCTGGGCATATCCCTCACGTGGCTGCTCTGTTACCTCTTCACCATCTACGACGTCCTGCCCTCGGATCCAAACGCTCACGGACACCTCGCTCGCACTGACGCCAAGGGTGACGTGATCGGGAAAGCAGCCTGGTTCAACTTGCCGTATCCTGGTGAGCCCATAGGAAGCATCGATGGTTATTCTCATGCATCAAATCAATTAAGAAATTATTTTGAAGAAGGAAAACGATGAGTTCAACAACTGCAGTTTATTCCATATCCCGCAGCACTTTCTGTCATGATATTAGAAGAGCTTCATCGGCTCCCAGTTCAGACCAGCATTGACTTTGAATGATATGATAATCTAGAAATGCCTCCAGTCTTGCACTTTCTCATACTTCTGATTAACTTGTGCCTTATGAGCTCGGACCTAGGATACGTATATATTTCAGGACAGCCCCAAGGAAAGGAATAATCTCTTTTTTAAGGAGGTTCTTTCTTCTGATATGCTCAGCAATACAATAACATTTAACACAACAAAATACTAATAGACATACAGTATGCAGTTACACACACATGCACAAACACACATATAAGAGGGGTTAAATGAATGGGTTCAGGTGCACATTTTGACAAGCCATAGTTCTTATACACAGTGCAGTCCAATATCCTGATGATGGATAACTGACAAGAGTTATGATAGTGACAGAAATATGAAAGGACGATTGAAATGGGCCATAAAATGTAAAGTCTTGTTCTTTTAGACCTCATTTTGAATCTTGTCTTGTGGAACATATCTTTAAATGAGTTTAAGTCCTCATAACGTTGTATCGCTATAACCCATCTCCGTGTACTGGTGCAGGTCAGTGGGGCGTCCCGTCGGTCAGCCTGGCAGGGGTCCTGGGCATGACGGCTGGTATTGTGTGCTCCATGGCAGAGTCTGTGGGTGACTACCACTCCTGTGCCCGACTCTCTGGAGCTCCTCCTCCCCCAAAACATGCCATCAACCGGGGCATTGGTGTGGAGGGGCTGGGGTCTCTGCTGGCTGGAGCTTTTGGGACCGGTAATGGGACCACTTCATTCAGTGAGAATATCGCTGCTCTCGGGATCACTAAGGTAAGGGATTTTCAAATTTGTTGAAAAAAAATACGCTAAATATTTTTAACTTCATGCATTTCCTCAAATATTTAGTTTGTTATTGAAAAATATTGTATTATATCCTAAATCCTCTTTATTGCACCAAAGCTCTTTGTGATTTGTATCTATGAAAAGTGTAAATTATAACCCAGAAACATTTTGGCAGAAAGACTTGCTCCTCCACAAATCTGGTAGTTTTATGTCATCTTAAAATTACAGAATATACACACATACATACATACATACATACTTTACCAGTGAGATTAGCTCGGCGCGGTGAGTTCTGGCGACCCGGATCACAGATTTTCTGATTGGTAAAACGGTGGAGGGCGGGACATCAAAATTGAAACTATTATAAGATTTGTTAGCTGTACAGTAAAACTAATTTTGAAATCAAAATATCTCAGCTGAAGTATTCAAAAAGAGCCTAGTTAATTATTACATTTTGACATAATTTTAATGATGACATGACATAAAAATCTTACATATTGCTACTGTCAATCTGTGATAGAACAAGTGTATGTCTGGGTAATGTTGACTCTTGACTGTATGTTTCCTTTTATGTGCATTTGTGGTGCTACTGACGCTGCAAGACAAGTTCCACCCTCAAAGGAAGACGGAATAAATGAATAAGAAAAATCACAATAATGAATGGGTCTCTAATGCATTTTAACAGGTGGGCAGTCGAATGGTGATCCTCTTGACTGGATTCGTCATGATTTTAATAGGAATGCTGGGAAAGATTGGAGCCATTTTTACGACCATCCCCACCCCTGTGGTTGGAGGCATGTTTTTAATCATGTTTGGAGTCATAGGAGCGGCTGGCATTTCTAATCTTCAGGTAAAATGACAATGAAGGAGACATTTAAAAACCAAGGATAACATTTCAAGTTTATCTGAACCTCACTTTTTCAGTCGACTGACATGAACTCGTCGAGGAATATATTCATTTTTGGGTTTTCGATGTTCACCGCACTAACGGTTCCCAATTGGGTACTGAAGAACCCAAACGCCTTAGCAACAGGTACTATTTTTTTGATTTATTAGATAATTAAAACCTTTATTATTTGTAGTGCTTTATAAGGAATGCCATCCAAATATCTGTTCAACTTTGCAATAAGAGATTAAGAGTTTAAAAGTAGATTTCAGCATAGGGACATTTCAATAACCAAAGTCTATTCTCAATAATATCACAATGCAGACCTGTGTTTTCTGCGCCATGCTGAAATGACTCGTGTTGTTTGGACTTGTGTCAGCTTTTCACAATGTGTAAAAATCACAGCAAACTTCTGACTTCGCATTATAATGGACCACAAGAAGTTTTTCATCCATGTGGAACAATATAATAAAGATGATCAAACATCCTCGCTCCAGCAGCCTGCACTGTTTGGCTTCTCACCTTTAAGGATTAAATATTTAATCTGCGTTTGAACATGATTCACCTCTTGCTAGAGAAAGTAATTTAAACCGGCGCAGGACAGGGTGGACAAAGTTTAGTTTCAGTAAATAAATGAGCTATTAAAGCAACCTGGATAGACAAGATTGAATTGAGACGATGATTGAATTAGAATATTTTTTATTGTCTTTTATTATGCATAAACCTCCAGCAGATGCATGCAATGTTCATTAGGATTGGCGATTAGACCACGGCAGGGTCTAATCGCCATGACGAATGCAGGAGAGAATATAATAGAAATTAAAGCCGCAAGCGGCGTCGAACGGCCCTCGCCGCACCGCGCGACTCCCTGGACCGCGCGCACTCCCCGCACCACGCCGCCCCGCACCAAGCCGCCCCGCACCAGCCGCCCCGCACCAAGACATGTCAATCACAACACCTGGACCTCATTCTCAGGGCGGGGGTGTTTAATGTCATTGTATGCCTATTGACTCCAAATCAGGTCAGGATCATAGTCCCTCCACTAGCTGCAGGGGGTACACCTCTTCTTTTATCATTAAAATGTTGTAAGTATTTTTAATGATTTTTTATATGTAAATATTAGACCAGCGTACATGTCTCCGCGTGTTTACCGTACTGTGTGTAGTACGGGTGCACTTAAATGTTGCGGCGAATGTCTGTCGGATATCCAACTTCAAACTAACTTCACCGCGGTGAAAATCTATTCAATCTATTGAGTTTCATCATTTAACTTAGAGCTTAAATAATAACATTTGATATGACTAGTTTCCACATGGATTTGCCTGAGTCACATCTTTAGAACAGCTTTTTCAGACAAAGTGATAACGGGGTCTGAATAGTTCACCACAAAGAACATGTAATAATCATTAAACTAAAACATTGGGAACTCCAGCTTTAAGTGTTAGCTCCACTAGCTAACGCAACTCTCTTTAAAATCCTGTCTCGTCTATTTCAAAGGATTTCAACATAAAATACAGCCTAAGCAACACATTTGCGGTCTAAAATATACCGAAGCAGTTATAATACCTAGATAGTCAAGATGAGTAATGTTCGTATTCATTAAAAAATCGTGTAAAATCTATGTAAAATGATGAAAAAAAACAGCTTGAAATCACGTGCACGCCTACTTCCGGTCTCCCACCTGCACAGAGCCCCCGGGACATACCTGCTGCTGCCTGGGTGTGTGTTTGCGTTCGATCTTCGCTCCTTGACCTACTTTTTCTGCAGAAATTTAAAGAATTTGGATATTAGACGTTGCCAATATCATCCAGGTGAGCCTATTTTCATAATTATTTATTCTACAGAGCGAGATATAATCATCTTTTGTTGCACCTATTTTGATCATGTTTGTATTTTGATCTGTCTAGTGTTGTGTGGTAGGCTATGTCTTGAAAGTAATTATGTAAATATATACTTATTAGATCAAAAAATATGTTGGAATTATCTTTAACAGGTAATTTTGTCGAGCTCTTGATTTTTTCCAACAACTAGGATATTATTACTAGGTTGTGTTGTGTAATAGGGTATAGGCTAGTCATATCAGTGCTCTCCAACCTCACTTACTCAGTCACATTCCAACTTCTAAGGATATAATATATAGTATAATTATATATAGGTTGCTTTGTGTCTATATAGGAAAACTGTGCATATGCAAAGAAAGCTTGCTTGTTCAGAGGTAACCATATCCCTAGTTAGTAATTTTGCTTAATAACAGTCAAATGTATTTCTCCAAAAATACATACTATTGCATTCAATTGTTTCTTTTTTAATCTCAGATTGAAATTCCTAACCTAGTTGATTTTCTGACCTTAATGTAATCATTGTAAAAGAACTTGACAATATTTATCTGATTAAAGCTGCATACTTGCACTGGTTTACTATGCACACTGCTTTCTGTAGCCTGCAGCTAAGGAGAACTACTCCAGCTTGTTCAGCGCTCCTTCCAGCTATCAGTCATTCTCAGTGTAATTCTACTATTACGATTGAATGTGAAAGGTTGTAAAGTGTGAAAATGTATCTTACTTTTAACCTTAGAACAATTGTGAGGAGGGGATTTTCAAGACTGCTGATTATTTTGTGGTCTCCTCCGCTCTGCATTCGTGTCTGAGCTCGTCACACATTCCACACCTGAAACCTCCCATCTTTACCTCTCTTCAACTTAACTAAGTCAATCTGATTTAGACCCAGTGAATACGACATGATTTGCCTAAAATGACAAATCCTGGCCTTTGGATTTCTAAGAAGTGCTAGCAAAGTTCAGTGGTATTTTACGTCTCAGATTATTGAAATTTGGCATGGAAACAATAGATACCAGTTTTGTTTACAATAGAATTGTATTATATAGTTCATAGACTAAGTCAAAGTGTGCTCAGCTGAGGTGTGACATTCGGGACATTGGACACTTTCACTCAGTCCCAGAGGACGCAAATACACTCAGTCCCAGAGGACACAAATATACATTGTGTGTGATCTGAATGATTGTTTTATTTGTACCTGAAGGTTGAAAAAAAACAAATGCACTTTTTGTCTTATTGCATTTTGTATCAATTATTTATAAATTGTCTTTGTTTTCCATGTTTGATGAAGACAGACTGCTATCACTATTCTAATCTAATTTGTTTAAGCTGGCTCAGTTTGTGTTAAATGCATGGCAACTTTGCAAGAGGATACTTTATTGTTTTGATTTATCGTTTGCAGAAAGAAAATATTAAAATACCAAATACACACTAATACTTGATGATGTACAAAAAGTTATTCAGTCCAAAACTGCTATTCCTCGTTTGTACTCGTTTGTAGATCTTGCCTGGAATATTTCACACTATGGCATTAAACTGGTTAGAGAAGTAAGTTGCTTTTAAAAATGTATTTATTATAGTACAGTAATAGTAATTAGTTTCAAAAGCTTATGGAGACCATACAAACAAAACAATTATATAACTTTTAGAGACCAAGTTAAGCAATTCACGATACGTTTTCTTATGATATTTTAAGATAAAATAGGCCCTAAAACGTACTTCTCTGCAGATTGGCTAGATAGATAAATACCCCATTGTCATTCAAATACACATCAATGTAATTTAGTTGTGTGCGCATACACAACTATGTGCACACAACTAAGTTACTTACATTGCATCCTCAGTCTGTATAAAAGTATAAAGATAACTATTTTAGAAGATTATAATATCTATCCATCCCTTTTCTTCCCATGGGGGGGACACAATCAGAGCTGGCGCCTAATTTACAGTCACCAGCCTCTCACTGATACTTCTGTAGGATCAATGATATAGTAAGTAGTATGTTCCACTCCACACAGTGATGACAGAAGCGAGACTCCATCCACACTTGCCATTCACTCCATCTATTCACACCTATTACATTCAACTTAGATTCAGACCTATTGTATGTGTTTTAGTAGCAGGGGACACTGGCGCACCTGGAGAAAACCTTCACAAACATGAGGAGAACATCCAAATTACATACTTAAAGGCCCTTTGTGGTGGAGGAATCAGGTTCAGGACCTTCTTGCTGTGATGCACAAGCACTAATCGCTATGCCACCATGTCGCCTCTTGAACTGATAATTATTATATTTCCGGTTTTAATTTTTGGTATAGAGTTCAGCAAGCAGGAGGCAGGTTCATTGACACAAGTAAATCGGGAATATTTTAGATATGCTTTACAAACAAGCACAAGGGAGCTACTGAAGATCTTTTAATATAGGTGTAATGCGAGATCTGTTTCTTGTACGAGTCAGAACGTGAGCTGCAGACTTTTGAATCAGCTTCATCTGTTGGATTGATTTAAGGGGAAGAGCTGAGAAGAGGGAGTGTTTACCAAACCCCTGATCAGCTTTATACGTCTGACAGGATCTGGTTTATACATTACACTTTACATACTACAGCAACCTGAGTTTCTCCTGCATGAATTGTGCTTCAAAAATAAATTCGCCTTGCCTTAAATAACACTTATGTACAGTATCTTCAATTCAAGACATTCAATTGTTGTTTTCCCTCCATATACAGTAAATGTGCAGACTTGTTCTCAACTTCACTCATATTTTACGGACCATTACTTGTCATAGATTACGAGGAAACGGCTGTTACATAAGTTGAATTTCTGATAGTTCACTCAATTGACTGATAGTTCTTCGGTCATAGTTCTTTCCCATCACGATGAAAGTGCAGCATAGTTTTCATTCTATGTGTGTTTCATTGTCACTAATATTGCACTCTGTCTGCTTCTGAACAGGACCATGATTTCTGGGGATACATCATGGGAGCTATCTGTTCAGGTGGACCTCAGGGAAGGAAAAATGGAATCTATGAAACTTAAACTTCGGGTCAAAGGCGACTTACACATTGGTGGTCTGATGCTCAAACTGGTGGAAAAGATAAGTAAGTCGGAATCATTTCATGTTTCTTTATTTCATGGATTCCAACTCTTATTTATGTTTACAATTAAAAACATATAGGGGGCATACACTTTTTTTTTCTTCCTAAGCAAATAGGAAATATTGTATATTTGTATTTAACCTTTATTTAACCAGTAAAAATCCCATTAGGATTAAGAACCTGTTTTTCAAGGGAGTCGTGGCCAAGACGCAGCAAAGTTACTCATAAACACAACAGACAGATAAAAATACATTTAAAATGACAGGTACACAGATTACACACATCAAGTAAAACAATTACATTCATTTGTACTTCTATAATTACTTAAAGCTAGTGTACCTAACTTTCAAACCACAATAAAATGGTAGTAAAAACTCAGACTCAGAAATACTCAAAAAGGCAAATAGTGACTCAGAGGGCTCTTTTTTATGCAAAAGAAAACATGTTTTATATTATTATTATTATTATTAGTATTGTTAAGTGTTTATTTCATAGGGACAGAACAAAAAGGATCATCACAGGAACCGATGCTATGTTCATAGGCCGTAGAGCTTACAGCTAGTTTGCAGACACAGTTCCTAATATATCCCTGGTCCCTAATCAAATTAAGATAACCATGACATATTGTGGTTTGAGTTGTTCAAAACATTTTACTTTTACAAGATTCTTTCTGTTGAGACAAAGAACTTGTATGAGCTAAATTAGAAAGGGTTGGTATCCCAGGTTTATGGAAACCGTAATGAATATATTCTTATTATGCAGCGCTTAAGAAGTCTGCGCTGCACCTGTGTTTGCCTGTTCCCTATTCTACGTGGGCTTTTGTTTAGCAATGCCTCAACTTCGAGTCCAAGGTTCAACCAAGATTACTTCCTTTTGAAATACTTTCCATCTACTCCCATTTCAACTTACAATGTGAAACTAATATATGACTCGTAAAAGACAATTTGTTATAATGTTGATATTTGGCTCAAAGCTTGTAAAATCCCTTAATAAAATGATAATATAACCTCATTATTAAGTGCTTTAAGTTAGTTTTTTGTTGATGTAGCTTAACAAGAACAATTATCAGTACAAAGACAATATTCTTTGTTCAAGATATACTAGATATGATTTTTCAAGTAGTCTTTTATAATTATATTTTTCTATATTTAAAAACAATTTCAATTTTTTTTTTGTTGGCACATCATTTTACGTGCAAAGTCACCACATTTGAACTGTTATGGTTTCTGTTTCTGAGTGTACCTAATCTTAAAAGTCCTGGATTGTGTATGCCTTTTTGCTTAAAAGGAAAAAAAAAGAATTACACATAGCAAAATGTCTCCAGTGACTCAGAACACTTGAGACATAATAGATGACTAATAGCTTGTCACCAACAAACACATTTCAGATCAGCGTCACTGCAATGCAGTCAGGCCCTCGTATAAAACCAGTTTAATACGATTTGGCCCTATGGGATTCAGGAAGTCATTGTTGGTAGCGATGCATGTGATCCCTGCCTCAAAGCCATGTCAAGCCCAGTAACTTTGTCTTCTAATTGCCTTTGAAGCCCCATAAAAAAGGCAACAGCTTTACTAATAAAATCCTTTCACAGAGGCTCCCCAGGACTGGTCCGATCATGCCCTGTGGTGGGAAGAAAGAAAATGCTGGCTCCTTAAAACGCACTGGACCCTGGACAAGTTTGGCATTCAGGTAAAACAGTTCACTGGAGTAGATTAAGACAAAAAGTAGACTTGACCTGCAGAATGGAATTCATTTTCTCATAAGATTTAGCATTTGTTTGTGTTCCATGATACAGTTGTATTCATCATTTGCAGTGAAATGCTTGAGTGTCTGAAATTTGAATGTACAGTAGTATGGATTAGATAATATGGAGCAGGGATGTTTGATATATCTTTTCTTGCTTTTGAGAGACATTCCTCTACAGGAAGTACTGCCAGAAACCTTTGTTACTAAAACCAAATGTGCAACACATTTTTACCATTTGTATAAAGGGCTCCTGCCAAACGACAAGACGAAAGATACTTGCTTAATGCATTGACAAATCTTTTAAATTGACTTAAACCAAGAAACATTTTCCCAAATTCAAGTGATTTTCCTAACCATGGATTCCTTTTTTGTTTGCAAAGAATATAATTTTGACCACAAAAATTGCGATTCTGATTCTGATTGCGATTAATTGCCCAGGTCTACTTCATTTAGACTGTGGAAGCACAATTTTGAGCAAATTCTCCCTTGAGACACGCCAGAGGTGTGTGTGTGTGTGTGATATTATGATGTGTGTTTATCTGCATAGGCGGACGCTCACCTGCGCTACACACCTCAGCACAAGCCTCTGCTGCTGCAACTTCCCAACATGAAGACCGTGCGTATGACTGTGAGCTTCTCCAGTGTGGTCTTCAGAGCTGTGGCTGAAATCTGCCAAATACTCAGTGAGTCCTGTTCATGTCACCTACTTCTGTACTGTACACCAATCAATCAATCAAATTTTTTCTAAAGCGCTTTTCATACAGAAAATGCAACACAAGTGCTTTACAGTTTGGGCCCAACAATCCCACAGGCCCACCCCAAACCACATATATTAAGAACGCACGTGCAGACGCACAAACACACACACACACACTTGTGAATATCATATTTACATCCATGTATCTGAAGCCAGTAGTAGAGTAGAGTAGAGTAATTCGGGCGTTCTGCTCTCCCAAAATTTCATCCACTGAGCGGCGCTGTGATCAAAAAATGACACCGTTTGTTGCCCAGTTCACTTTCGGTTGATTTCATACAATGGCGAATATGGCTCACGAAAACAACAAGCGATTGACAGTGCCTGAATTGCGTGAAAGGTTGAAGCGAAAGGGTATTTGCAGTGTGGGAAAACGAAAGGAGGAATTGTTGTTGCTAGTTCAACGAGCGGATGGTGTTTATGAAGATTTAGAAGAAGATGACAGCGAGCAGAGTGAACGAAAACGGCTGTGTGTGCGAGTGACAGATGGTAACAATGAGAATGAAGTTCAGCTAAGAGGGAAGAATGTGAATTGGACGGATGATTTGCGCGATATGCCACTAGTTAGAGACGGGAATGTATTTGCATATCTGATGCATCAGTGTAAATGGGGATGGGAGAGAGTGAACAATTTCGAAAAAGATGATGGATACATGATGTTCAAAGATGTGCATGTAGAGAAGATGAGGCTTGGGACCATAACTGGACACACACACCGTTAGTTAGTATCTGATAACTTGAATGCATCTCCTACACTAGAACAGCATAATACATCAAATAATGATTATAGTTAGATTTTAGACACTTACTTCCTACATAGTCTTCCCTTTGACTTGGTACAGGATTAACAATTTCAGCCCCAACTTCAGGTAGATCATCACTGCTTTCCACAGTCTCCGGCTGGTTAGATATCCATGGACAATCATAGTCTCGCTCATCACGGCTATTGTCATTCTCATCCATCATTGCACATGTCCTTCTGCTGCTTCTTAGATTTAAGGGCTGACCCCAGTTATTCCAAGCAAAATATTTTGGATCAGAGGTTGACGTTTTATCAGCTCTAATGGAGTCCTGATCAAAATGTCTTGAACACAAGCGGGTTAATCTGTTAACATTAAAAACATCTACGTAGCCAGTAGAGTCCCTTCCACCCCTCCTTACGAGGCGCTTCCACCTGCTGATGTCTCTGGGGTTTTTCGGCCACTTGACCCACCGCACGCTTGACATCCACGGATATCGACTCAGTTTTTTATTGCTGTTAGATCGACAATTAGCGGCGGCACACTTGAAGCCCATGATAAAACCGGATTCAACAGAAAATGACGAAAACACTCAACCATTTAGAGAAAATGCGCCGGGCAGAGAGAACCGGAAGTTGCGAAGGCAACTGTTACCCATAATGCAACGCAAAATTCAGTCGCTCCCCCGCCCATCGGATGGAATTTTGGGAGAGCAGAACGCCCGAATTAGTAGTAGTAGTAGTAGAAAAGTAAGGTTTGTTATAACAAACCGATAGAATAACTATTAATATGTTTTTCATTATGGCTTCAACGTTTATCATCAAATAAATGATATGGCTGTTTGTATGATTTCCTTTAGTATTTATGAGATACATTTAATTTAATTAATTTGTATAGTATTCATTTGATAATTAACTTATCAGACATAAGAAGATCAGAGGAACTGTCCCTGCTGAGGCTGCCTGAAGACAAGAAAAAAAAGAGGAAAGACAAGAACTCAGCACAGGAGGACCTCTGGGACATCGACGTGCTCACTCAAGGGGCAGGAGGCTCAGGTAAAAAAAAAACAGACTTGCGTGGAGCTCCTCTTTGGAAAAGATTAACAGGTGTTCAAACATTTCAAACCTAATTGTATAAAAAACAGTTTTAAAAAGTAAGTACTGGACAAGTACGTGGTGGAGAGAGAGATGTCTTCAGCACAGAGCCAGCCACGGTGGTGTTGTTTTGTCGAAGAGTGTTTGGATCTACGTGTGTCTGCGGAGCGTCAGAGAGCTCTGGGACCAGAATACTTTTCCCTCCTGGTTCCTGTGTTGTTCCCACCTGATCAGCAAGGGTCGCTATGTAAGACTGGACACTTTTAACCTTGTTTGCTTGTCCTGTGTTTTCCATAATGTCCAAAACCTTTTTGCAGCTTCATTCATTCACTCCACACACGGTGGTGGTGGTAATATAAAGTAATATAAAGCTCGAAGAGAGATAACTGCAGTCTCCTGAGGCACATGACTGTCTACACCTCGGCTCGCCACACTGCTCTTTCTTTAACCAATCACGCCCCTTGCCATCCACAAGCGCCATCCGTCAAGACCTTTGATGGAGTCGGTCTTTAAAAAAATATTTAGTGCATTTGTGGAGGGGGAGAGGCTCTGAAGTTTGACACAAGCTTTGTTGTAGTTTATGTGTGTGTCGTCTTTGCCACATATTATTGTATGCTTTTTTATTGTCTTGTTGAATGGGTGAGGGGGGTTTGGAATCTTTATGAATGCTTCACCAAAAATCTTAAAGAAACTGCTCCATAAAAAAAAAAATTGTACAGGTTTCGAAATTTTGACCCTTTGTTATAATTTCTACACATTTTAATTTATTGTTGATTAATTTTCCTCCCAGGCCCTATGTACAGTAAAACCATGACGGCCACGTACGACCCTGAGAATGGGATGCCTCTTTCCGCCACGAGTCTCTGGTTTGGAGACAATCCTCTGGCCGAAAGTCAGCCAAACCTGCCGCCCGCCGAACTGGCCAAAATATACCAACCGCTGTCCCTGGTGGAGAAGGCCAACATCCACTCAGGGTAAATATATTTGCAGCATATATACTTTTTAATACAAAACAAAAAAACTCTATACATTTTTATTTATCTAACTCAAGATCATTAGATAGACAACACAATATATTATAACAACATTAATAAGGTACAATTCAAGATTCTAAGGGAGCACAGGCACACATTTCAGTCTGGATGTAAAATATGGGATCTTGAGTTAAACCTAATTTCTAATAAAAACCATTTTCTAATCTCACGGTTTGATTGACGTACATATAAAGCTCTAATTGACCACTAGTGCAGATCTGTGGGGAATTACAGATCCATAGTTTCACCAAATACTTTCTACTTAAGATAGATATTCACGCTCGTAAACAGAACAAATAGTCTCATAATTTTTAACGGCCAATAATAGTGTATAATATTTCTTCTTTAACAAGGTGGCAGGTGGTTTTTAGTTCCAATCCAGTTAAAATTCTACCCGCAGAATAAGCCTGGTTGTACCACACAATCAGGGAAATGATAATTGACCGGAGTTTACGGATGGCTAAGGCCAGGCATACAAACTCATTTGTATTTTCTAGTTGGCTCGACTCCTCTCGTTCTCTGATGGAACAGGACGTCTTTGAAGATGACAAGATATTGCTTCGCTTTAAGTACAACGTCTTCTTCGACCTTAACCCAAAAGTACGTGCATTACATATATGAAATTTCCCAAGGGTGAGACGAATAGAGGATATCTTAATCTTAAAATCACAATCCTTTAACAATTCCTATTTGACTATATATATGAATGTGTTCACAGTACGATGCAGTGAGGATTACACAGCTCTACGAACAGGCTCGCTGGTCCATTCTGCTCGAGGAGATAGACTGCACTGATGAAGAAATGTTGATGTTTGCTTCTCTCCAGGTGAGCTTACAAAAATGAAATAAAAGGGGACACCACATGTACATTTTTATCAAGTTTTGACAATGTTGTGGTGGTTATTATTATTTCTGGTCAGATTTTAGTATGTTTTCACTTTTTGAGTTATAATATTGTATGTTAAGCTTGGTATGGATATGGGCACATTTCTGCTGATGTTGTGTAAAGGGGCAGTGTGCAGAGCGATATGGAAACAGATGCCCGAGCACGTTTATTTAAAAAAAAATTTTGGATTAGATTGTTTTAGATATAGAGACGTGCTATGTATGTATGTGGACTTGTCTGAAAAAGGATTTGGGGGAAAACACCAAAAGTAATACAAATTGGAAGTTGTTTCAAAGAAAAAAGCAAGAAATTAAATTAATATTTTTATAGAATTTGAATCTGTAGCAGGTTTGTTGAAAATGTAAGGTGCATTATAAATAACATAAATTATTATGATTTCAGATAATGATAACAAATTCCTCACATATCCAGGAGTGATTTATTGTCTCTTAATCCAGATGACTACTTTTGAAATGTTCAATGATATAAAGTCCCAAATGAACAAATTCAATTCAAATTGTCCGATTCTCAATCTCACCATTGATTCGCTTAAATACCTGCAGCCCCTTGTCGCCACTGCTTTAAATGTTGAACTTTATGTGAAAAACTGGGTTAATAAATCAAAAGTTGTTGTCATGAAAAGTAGTATTGAGTTTGTATCGAGTTTAGTGTTGAGTCTATTAATAGGCACCATTATTGATTAAGACATTTTATTGTGACAAAATAAGCTTAATTCTGCGTTTTATTTCCCCAGTACCACATTTGTAAACTGACCATGACGAGCGAACCCCAGATCAACTCAGACGAACCAGAGTTGGACGAGGTGGAAGCGGCTCTGTCCAATCTGGAGGTGACGCTGGAGGGGGGACTTCCGGACAGGATCCTGGTAAACGCTGCCTTTACACCGGAAACAGTAGAACAGCTGGTTCAGAGTCATAATGATGTGGTTGGAGGCTGCCGTGTCACTCATGGTTGTTTGTCCCGCTTTTAGGAAGACATCACAGACATACCAGAGCTGGCTGACACACTCCGGCTCTTCAAGTAATCACACCATTATTCATGCTTTTATTTATTTATTTCTGCAGTGCCTATAAATGCACAAGAAGCTTTCATGATACATATAGATTGATTAATTCTTCTTTTAATCTTAGTTTTGGTACCTAATTTAAAATCTGATTCACGTAAACTAGCTTCTTGCTCTCAAAACAATTGTGTTCCATCACTCACATCTTAAGATCTGTTTTTTCAGACAGATGTATAAAAAAGAAAGGAAATCACTCAGCATGCGAGCTGTGGTCCTTTTAGTTCACATTACAAGACTCTGTTGGGACAAATACTATTATTTATGAATAAACAATGGCTTTAAAGGTCCTATATCACGCTTTTCTTCATGTTTCACACTCAATCCTATGCACATGTGTGATATTAATGTGTATGATACACCACACAACAATCAAAGCTTGTGAGATTAGAGCCATCTCTTGTATAGAGGTGACGTCACCTGGACTCAAACGAGCTGATCCAGAGAAGAGTCTGCTCCTCTGCCTGTGAGCCCGCCTCCCCCCGCCCGCACGGTGACGTAGCATCACGCTTTTGTCATTTATCACCTGTACTTAGTAATTTCATACATAAGAATAAACTTTTTCCAACAATGACAATCCGTCACATCGAGCCCTATGTCCTCGATGCACAATCAGACCCTAGTTATTTAGTTTACAGAAGTATACAGCGAGTTAGCGTCACTACTTACAGATCGAGGGGGTCCGAGTTACGTCTTTTACCGTGGGAATAACTTGTTTCCAGATCAGCCTTTGAGTAAGTCCAGTTCCATTGTCCCTGTAGTTCTGGAACAGTCTCAGTGAAGTGTCGCAGATGAACCGGTATTATAATAGATCCATGAGATGAACAGATGAAAAAAGTCGAGCCGCTTTCTTCCTCTTAGGGCCAAATAGTGTGTCACATATTTACACCCATAACACACTTAATTCAAGTTGACGTGATCCTAACACTTTTAGTTGCTGACAAAAGCATAAAAACAGCAGCTCTATGTGGTGTCCGCGAGACCAGACCACAGACGCTGGACTCGGGAGCCGGAGCCTGTGCGCTCTGATTCGCTGTTTTGATCCGTCAATCACCTCCCGCCGGCTTTTAATTTATTTTTATTTTTTATTATTTTTGACAAAAAACAGCATACTAATTGTGTATTGTTTACCCCGTTTTGACAAAAGTATTTAACAACTATTTTAAATACAAAGCAAACGGGGTCATGCGCGTCATCAGTGTGGTTTTTGTCACCGAAGTGGACCCGAGCGTTTCTGTGCCTCACGCTGGGGAAGGAGACAGATTGCTCTCTTACCAAAGATTGACGGAATCAATGAATAAACTACTGTGGGCTTGTGTATGAAGGCCAGATAGCATTGTAATCATGTTTAAAGCAGAGAAAAGTCAAAAACCGTGATATGGGCCCTTTAAAGGAGAAACAGCATTATGTGTTGTAAATAATGTGTTTCATGGTATAAATAGATTTTATGGCAATATTAGTGTTTCAAATGGCAGAAAATAGATCTAAATCTGGCCTATAGTGTAAAGATTCATCATAGTGCACCAGGATTGAGACGGGAAGATTTTGACAGAAGGGGCGGGGGTGTGATTGTGCCAGAAGTTCCTGATATTAGCTTTGATGGAGCAAAAAACAGGAGGAGTTTTAATGTGATAAAACAGAAAAAGAACCTCTCCTTTATATTATGAAATTGACATTGCAATTATCGTAAATAAGTAATTGTTCTTATCATAATGGCAGATATGAAAAACTGTTATGATGTCTTTAAACTTTAAACCTGTTCATATACTGAATTCCCTTTAATTCAACTGTTCATTTTCATTTTATTTTGTATATTTTCTTCTATCTTGTTCAGGCCAAAAAGACTGACGCTCAGGCCGTACAAAGATTACTGGTTTGTGTTCAAAGACACTACAATCTCCTACTACAAGAATAAAGAGACGTCGCAGGGAGAGCCTATAGACCAACTGCATTTACGAGGTACAAACTTTACAAATATGTTGGTAACTATCAAGAACTATTGTCAATAATATGAGTCTGTTCATCAAGAAAAATCGAGTAGCGTGTGTTATTGTCAAATGTGTCTTTTTTACTATTGCCACTTATGTCACCACACTATAAACTTTCAACAGAGATTTATTATAGCTTAAAATACATTTTAAATTGTATGAATAAATGTATCTATGCCTATTAATACATCTAACTTACATCTAACTAGCCACACAAGAACGATATTGAAACTGATACGTGATACAGACATTTCTAAATATAACATTTTCTCTGATGTTTTGTTGACCTTACTTTTTGTGTAACGAGTGTCTTCGTTTCACTTTGTAAGTCAAATTACAGAAGTCAACACAAATAATATAATATTTTATTATGATGCGTATACTTTAAAATCGGACATATTTTCCCCACTCCATAAACCAGAGCCTATGAGCTGTGGTAACGATGAAAATAAGACAATCCACAGAGCGGTTGTCATCCCAGAAAGTACAATTAAAGCAACTAAGTTTTGTGAATCTCTCCCAACATGAAAAATTAATAGGATGAAAATTAATTCCAGTTGTTGAAGTGCCAAATGGGAACTTAGGCATTTAGCAAAGGCACTGAACTGTTCAGACTGGGTCCTTGATGTGTGCAGGGTGTGAGGTGGTGCCAGACGTGAATGTGACAGATAAGAAGTTTGGGATCAAGCTGCTGCTCCCAGTGGCTGATGGGATGAACGAAGTGTACATCAGGTGTGATAATGTAAGTGCGTACATTTGAATACAGAATATAATAGCATTTTATTATTTACAGATTAGAATCAAAATGAAATGATAAAGTGTATGTCTGTTATGCTTCACACACTTTAAAGGAGACTAATTTGGCAAAATCGCCTTTTGTGAGCGTTTAGCCATGTTACAACCATAGACTATAGCTTATACACGAACAATGCTAAGCCCCTAGCTCAGTGAGGACCAATAGAGAAGTGCTCATTGACAAATGTTTGAGTCATAATAACATACATAAAAAGGTAAACTCTTCTTCTGGGCTTAGAAAATCAGTGCTTTAGCGCTCTCAATGTGGTATTGTGGATTACATGTAAAATAGACGATTTATCTTGATTTGTCTCCTTTGAAGTGGTTTATCTAGGTTTTGGAATGTGTTGGAAAGAGTCGGAACCATATTTAAAGGAGTACTACAAAATAAAAGTACTTGTAGAGCCCAAACTGATGTGGTCTAAGGCTCTTAAGTTAATTATTCCCTAGATATGCTCTCTAAACTCTTCCCTAAAATATTATTTCTCTATCCAGGAAACGCAGTATGCCAAGTGGAAAGCCGCGTGCATCCTAGCGTCCAAAGGAAAGACGATGGCCTACAGCTCGTACAAGTCTGAAGTGAAGAATATCCAGTCTTTTTTACAAATGAAGAGTCTAGCGCCACCTCCTGGACAAGAAACTCCTGACGTGGAGGCTATGGACATGAATGCGGAATGTTTCGTTTCGCCACGTTACGCCAAGAAGCACAAAACCAAACAGGTGCGTTCAAGAAGCAAGTCTTTCCCTTATCAAAAACATTATTACCCACAATATGCAAAATCCTCTTTATAGACTCTGCTTTTGATGGCCTTTTTAAAGTAATAATGAGTGTGTGCTTGTGAGTGCGAGTGTGGCACAACAGAAGGTTACAATCCGGTTCATTAAATAAAACAACTGCCTCTAAATTAGTTTGGGAATTATATAACTGCAAGGCTTCAATTTCACTTTTGTCATTTAAGACATCTACTAAAAGAGCAGTGAAAGTGTAATTTCGACTGAGAGAGGTTTTCAGGACTCTGATATTTCCTTTCATTATATATATTTATCCATATGTTTCTATTTAAGAATGATTTAACATCATAAAATGCCAAGGTTTAAAAGATCAGGTATAAGGACTTAAATACATTATTATTTTTGATATTCATTTTCAATTGAATATTTTTATTGCACAATTTGTACACAAGGTAACCCATTGCACTTCACAAGATAATTAAAACCATTTACAAAAAGCTATAAAAACCTTAGAATTATTGCCCGGTGTAAACTGTAAAAGTACTCCCAGACTAGAATTAGTTCACTATTTTCATTATCACTTCAAATCAGCTTACATAAAATATCAAAGATTCGATTCTGTTTTTTACAGTTTCATTTTGGTTTGTGCTTACCAATACAGTTATGGTTATCAGGGATGTGTCAAGAATAGAAATATCATAAAACTAAATTATAGTCAAAGGTCTTTAAAGGCCAAATAAAAATAAAATACCATAGCAAGCTAGTATGGAGTAATTAGCAAATTATCACCATAACTTGATTGTCTATGGTCAACAAAGGTGAAATCTAGGTCACAGATTATTTTTAATTTTTTTGCAAACCCTGATCCAGAAGTTTCTATTTCATTTTTTTGATCTCATAATTTCCAGTTTGCAATGGCTTGTTTTCTTCCCTTTTGTAAGCTTGCTCAAATGGATTGTTTTGCAGCTGGCCACTCGACTTTTGGAGGCTCATCAAAACATTGCTCGTCTGTCGCTGATGGACGCCAAGATGCGCTTCATTCAGGCCTGGCAGTCGCTCCCAGAGTTTGGAATCAACTACTACATTGTTCGGTAAAACTCATGTGGCTCTGGTCCAATCTATCAGCTCCTTTTAGAAACACAATGTACCGGTACTGCATTTTGACAGAACTTAAATCCTACAATATTGAGATTTAGCATCATTTGGTAACGACAGTAGCCACAGAAACACAGACAATCAATCTAGGGCAAATATGCAGCCCGCAAAAAAATTGGAAATTGCAAATATGTCATAATTTTAAAGCTGATTTGATTAAGAAAACAACCCCATATTTTTTTAACCATGAAGATTGAACCCTGAACTCAGTAAGCAATAATTCAAAGTAAACATTAAACTCAAAAGTCATCTCTATGAAGTTGTTCTGGAGTGGCATCAGAATCATTATAGCTTTGTTATGGTCAATGATCAAGATGCTCCCACTTCCCACTTCCCATTTTACAACAAAAGTTATTACCTCAAAAGTATAACACCTTTATAGCACCTTATAATTTGCTTGTTTTTTACCAACAGTGTAGTATTAGCTTTTTTGTTTATGAGATAAGATGAGATAAGATAAGATAGGGAAATGTGCAATCAGGAAATGTCCAAACATGTTAAAAGATATATTATGTACAATAAATGAAAAGTGACTATAGATCTATTATTATAACTGATAGGGTATTGAATCTACTAATCTTGTTGCAAGGTACATAATTTGATTTGACAACCCTAATCGATGAAGAAAATATGTAATTAACAGATAGCTGAAGGGGAATAAGTTCCTCCCGACATCCGCCCTTTGACAAATACATTCTCTGCTTGCACATTCTTACCTTGCATACACCCGTCAAACATGTGTTCCCCATCTGTATGCGGTGTCTAGACTATGATATTATTAATGCCTGTGTGGGTTTTTTTGGGTTTTTTTCAGATTTAAAGGCTGCAGGAAAGACGAAATCCTGGGCATCTCATACAACCGCATGATTCGGATCGACATGTCCTCCGGTCTGCCCGTCACCACATGGAGGTTTGCCAACATGAAGCAGTGGAACGTCAACTGGGAAATTAGACAGGTGAAAAAGGATGACAAAAAGTGTGAAGCAGTTCATGTTGCTTGTTCTCTCTGGTGATATTCATTCATTGTCATCCACTTTATTAATCCATTTATTTTTGTTTTCATTTAAAGGAGACATAATACGCTAAGGATTTTATTTTGCTTTTAGCTCAAATGTAACAGCATTATTCCTCATCAAAAACAGACGTGGATTTTAGATTAATCCCTGCAAATATCATAAACTTGTAGCACAAACATGAGACACAGTAAGATAAGATAAGATGTGCTTTATTTATCTCACATAGGAGAAATTTACATGTCACATTTGGCATGGATAGAGCCACTCAGATTGTGCAAAAGGAGGAAATGTGGAAACATGTTACATGCAGGATATATATGTACAATAAAGTGACAATAATTATGTGCAACAAAAGTGACAAGTGTCAATTGGAAACAGTGTCAATAGTAGTGCAGGTTTTCACACAGTGATCATTTAAAGTGACTTATTGTACAGTCTGACAGCGGTGGGGATAAAGGCCCTGCGGTAGCGCTCCTTCCTACACTGAGGGTGTCTCAGTCTTCCACTGAAGGAGCTCCTCAGCTCCTCTACAGTCCTGTGCAGTGGGTGGGAGGTATTGTTCATGATGGAGGTGGCTTTGGCTAGCACCCTCCTGTCCCTCACCTCCTCCACAGAGTCCAGGGAGCAGCCCAGAGTGGAGCTGGCCCTCCTGACCAGCTTGTTCAGTCTGTTTCTGTCCCGCTCTGTGCTGCCCGGGGCCCAACACACGGCAGCGTAGTAAATGGCAGAAGCTACCACCGAGTCATAAAAAGTCCTGAGCAGAGGCCTGCTCACTCCGAAGGACCTTAGCCTCCTCAGAAGGAAGAGGCGACTTTGGCCCTTCTTGTGCAGGGCGTTTGTATTATGGGACCAGTCCAGTTTATTGTTAATGTGAACACCCAGGTACTTGAAGCTGTCCACCAGCTCAATGTCCTCCGCCTGGATGTTCAGCAGCGTGTGGGAAAGTGGTTTTGTCCTGAAGTCGATGACCATCTCCTTGGTCTTACTGGTGTTCAAGCACAAGTGGTTGCGCTCACACCAGTCGACAAAGTCCTTGATAACCGACCGATATTCCAGTTCGTTCCCCTCAGACACACAGCCCACAATGGCGGAGTCGTCGGAGTATGTAACAAGTAATTTGTTCCTTTTCAAACAAAAGTACTGCCCATAAATTAATAAAATTACATTCTTTACAATCACATAGCTGTTTTTGCTGCTGGTAATTTTCAACTTCTGTAAAAAAAGAAATCAATATTTACCCCTCTCACATTCGGCAGCATAGGGAGTTACAAATGGAATGCATTTTTTTCATTTCATTCTTTAAATAATGAATGATATTGATTGTATATTTTTATTGTGTACAGTTCCATTACTGAAACCTGCAGCGTAACATTCTTCCTCTTAAAATTCCCAATGCTACTTATGTTTATTTGTGCCGTTTCAGGTGACCATAGAATTTGACCAGAGCGTGACAATAGCGTTCTGCTGCACAAGCTGCGACTGCAAAGTGGTCCACGAGTTCATAGGAGGATATATTTTCCTCTCCACAAGATCCAAGGACCAGAATGAAACTCTAGACGAAGAACTGTTCCATAAACTAACTGGAGGTCAAGAATAAGAAGAACCTTCCAAACTTCTGTCTAGGAGCATGTGAATTTGACTCAAAATACACATAGGCCTATAAAGTTAGAAATGCGGTGCACACAGGACATTTGTGGACTTTTTTTTTTTTTATCCAGATTGGCTGCATTTCTCTGACCATGGTCTTTTTTGCAGATTTTGAGCAAGTTATTGTTGTAGCCAGGATGCCATTGCTCCCCCCTCTGACCATCGCAGCACGCCCTCTGTTTTTACTTATTTTTGTGTAACAATTAACAGCAACAATGACAATGACCTACAATACAAATGTACACTGTGAAATGTGCAAGTGTGTACTGTAGCTGTGGTGCAGTGGAGTGTATGATGTGACAGAAACTGTAGCAAAAAAGTGGGGATTTGTTTTGTCACCGTAAAACGTCCTTATTTGTACTCTGCATGCATTTGAGTATTTGTCCCACGACTGAGATGTCCTCCCAGGTTTCATGCACAGCAGTCTTTTTGTGTTTTATAGCCGTGTTTTCTATCCCTCTCTGATGGATTTTGTCATTTGCTGAGACAAAGTGTGTAGTATTTACTGCTAAGAACATGGAATGTCTCAAGTATAAGTGCCTCATGTAATTTGACCAATTATGAACAGTAGTTGTTTCTTACATTTAAAATGTGTTAATGCCTTTTTTATTACATAGAATTTATGTAAATATTTTCTCATCCATATTCAATATTACGAACTTTTGGTACAAAACAGGAATATTTTACATGTAAACAATAAAATGTTTTTACAACTCTTTTTTAACAGTATGCATTTTTGTTTAGTTTTTTTTACTTCATGCATATTTTGTATTGTCTTCCCTTTATTTTGTAATGATCCCTTTGAATATGTGATTATAATTTATCACTGTTGTGTTTTATTAAAAAAAGAAAAAAAAAAAAGATAGGAAACCAAGCTGTTCATACATACAGGATTGAATTGTTGTTAGTTGTAGTACGAGTATAATTGTGTTATAATCATAGACTGTATGTTATAATGCATCAGTTTTATAGTGCACTACCGTAGGCACTGCCTGGGGTAGAGTGACAGAAGCGAGGCTGCCATTCTGAGCCATCATCCCCTCGGAACACACCATTCGGACACAACAGTTTAGCACTTTAGAGCTGCAGCCTCTGAAGCCTCTCTGTGGCCCAGAGGACTCCCATCTCAGTACTACCCTGGCAATGCCTTGCTTGGCTTCTATGGTCTGACAGGATGAGGGCTAAATATGCAGATATGGTTACATTATTATTTTATTGAATTTGAGTGTTTGCAATTAGATAATTGAAATTCCATACTACATCCATGGGAAATGCCTGTTAATTCTGCTAAGAAAATGTGTTATTATTTTCACCAAATACTTAGGGCAAAACAAAGTCATTTTAAAAAGTGTATATGTGACAAATATTTATCATTATTATGGGATTTTCTTATTTAGATTAATCTACTTTCTTCGGATCGTTTACCCACCCGTGTTGAGTTTACAGTTTCTGTGGGTGATTAGCCATCCTGTGTTGCTACGGAAGTGAAGCTAACACGTGGGAGCAGGGGAGCAGCCGCAGCTTGTGTTTTGCTGCGTGTCAGTGTTTGAACAGCTTATTTTATTTCTTACTTCACGCCCATTTATTGGTTTCTCTCCCGAACTCCAGCTTTGCTCCAAACTTTGAAAATCTGCCGTATTATGGCAGACAATGGGGACGAGGACTCCCAGCACACAATCAAAGAAGGAGACTACGTAGTGTTAAAAAGAGGAGATATCTTCAAAGCTGCGCAAATTGTACCAAAAAGGTAAGTAATGTATTTATATTATTATTTATCGTGTGGGTGTTTTATGCTTCGCGTGAAGACGATGTGTAGTAAAGTATCTTCTATTCATGTTGACAATTCACTAGAACTGTACAAACTGTAAATATGTCATTCGTTTTATGTCTGCTCAACATATCAAAGACTTTCTATTAGACCTACTTGACTAGTCCTTCAGTTACTATTTTACCTTGTAGTTTATTAAAACTAGATTAAACTTTGAATTGTATTACCAATACATCACCAATTTTAATACGTTAATATGATACAAAATAATCTGGATTTGATCTTATTTTCTTACAGAAAGGTGATTTTTGAAAAGCAGTGGTTCTTTCTTGAGAAGGCTGTGGGACATTTGTACAACAGCACTTTTGAGATCCATGGTGGACAGCTGCAGATCAAGAAGGTCAGCGAGACACAGAGTTCAAATGGTATGTATACTATAAAAGAATAGGATATGATGAAGTTTGGCTGACCACTCAACTTTGACTGTATATATTAAATAAAAAGAAAGCAGTGCCAAAAATTGGATCTTGATTATGTATACTAACTTGCGATAATAAACCAATCTATCAGAGAGACTTCATGTGGAAGTAAGAGTTTTAGAGGCTCAAGAAGTGGCACCTGGTTCTTTCTTACAAGTATGCAAACAATTTTTTTTACTGCTGCAGATTCAAAGGAAGTCGCTGGTGTTGATAACAGAAATATTCTGGATGATGGAAAGTCCCAGAAGCTGACCAGAGATGATATAGAGATGCTCAAGGAGAAAGGTCTCAAAGGACAGGTAAATGCTTATATTATCTTTGTTTGAATCATTTGAATACTTTGTGACGTATATCATCTGTTTTTTTCACTTGTAGGAGATCGTCCAGCAGCTAATAGAAAATAGCTCCACTTTCAGAGACAAGACAGAATATGCACAGTACAAATACATCAAGAAGAAAAAGAAGAAGTGAGTTAAACCATAAATAGTGTTATATTTATAGTGAACTTCACAGTTGCTGGTTCAAAGCCTAACAATTGATCCTAAAACATCCTCAAGACCACTGAGATGGAAAGTAAAGGTGCCATGCTGACCACACATACATCCTCTGGGTCCCAACCATATATTTTTTTAACATAAAAAGTTAAATTTCAATCTCATAACTTGTAGAATTTATCTTCCACAGCTTTGACCATGTTATAGATGTTACCGGATGTATAATGTTGTAGATGATGACAACAGCAGATTTTTTTTTTTTATATATCTTTAAATAAATAAATAGATACTTTAATGATCCTCTTAGGAGAAATTCAGGTGTCCAGTAGCAGAAAAAATAACATTGATCATTCTAAAAAGCTAATGATAATAAATAGATAATAGATAATAAATTACAGAGCAGCTTCAGTGATAGACTTATTCACCCTCGCTGTGTGAAGGAGAGGTTCCGCAGGTCTTTCCTTTCTGCTGCTGTCAGACTGTAAAACAAACAATAAGGACCAATAAGGACTAATGAACACTGCCAACTTGATTCCAGTGTCACTCTCGCATCATGGCAATATCCTTACCTTATACCAGAATGTGCAATACACAGCTGCCAATATACAGTTGTAAACATGCTGCTGCTAATGTACAGATGCTAACATATAACTACACTTTACTTGCACTAGATTACACAGTACTTTATACTTGCCTCTTATTTTGTCAATTTTAAATTTTTACATCTATTATATTTTCAAGATAGAGATTTTATACTTATTATTAATGCTAGAGTTAGATTATTTTTATTTTGTTTAGTATAGCTATTTTTCACTTAACGTGTGCTGTGTGCTCTTCTTTCCTACTGTCCTATAACCTGTGATGCAACACCGAAATTTCCCCACTGTGGGACAAATAAAGGATATCTTAATCTTAAGCAACAGCCCCTCAGGTCACAGCAGCAGAGGTGGAGTAGCCGCTTGGTTTGGACCACTTTCTCTGCTGAGTCCAAAGTAAAATGCTGAATGCACAGTGCCATATATATTATTGCTTTTCTCCAGGTATGAAAACGGCGTAACCATTTTGAAACCCTCCTGTCGCATCTTGGCTTTAATGTACCATGGCAGAGAACCGGGAAAAATCTGGTCAGTCATTCTTCAATATGATTAAATTGTAAACAAAGATGTGGTTTTAATTCGTTTGCACATTGTATTTTCTTTGCAGCCATCTCCGATACGACACACTGGCCCAGATGTTGACTTTGGCAAACATTCACGCCGGAAGCAAAATTGTGGTCTTTGAAACGTGTGCCGGTTTAGTTCTGGGAGCAGTTATGGAGAGGATGGGAGGTATGTCTGCATTTAATTTACTATTTAATCAAGATAACTAATTTTATCCACTTTTTAAAGCCACCCTGTGTAATTTTTACAGCTGCTCCATGTGAAAAAACATGTTAACTAATAACAAATGTGACCTTTTAAGAATATTTACCTCCATGTTTTTTTAATTGTATTCATAGGCTTAGAATTGAACTTATAAGTGTCCATGAGAGAGTAGGACTATCCGTGTAAATGCGCCATCTTGAAAACCGGTGGTGGATAAGGACAAAAAGCGAGAAACGCGTTTTCATTTCACATAAGCTACTGATATTGATTTCACCGTGCCTTCACAATTTGGAAGAAGGAACCATGGAGGACCACAGTTATATAAAAGAACCACAGAGGACCACAGTTATGTAAAAGAACGATCGGAACAACAATCTTTTAGATAAATAATTATGTAGAAGTCCAGCGTCATAGCAGCGAACGTGAACAATACATAACTTTTTCACACTGACAATAATGCGAACAAGGTAGAATCTACAACACGGTCTCAGGATGTTCTGACCCAATCCGAGCGCAGTCCAACTACTGTCTCCCAAGTTACAACTAAACTTATTTAGGGACAAGCATCAAATAAAACACACAGAATCCCCGCAAAACGATCGGCAGAATAATGTATCAGCAGCGAGAGTGAATGTTCTGTTTATCTTACCTGGTGAAGCAGATAGGGCGCTGTGGCTAACGCTAATGCTAACATGAGCTTTGCCATGTCCTGCTGCTGCTGTGTATATCTCCTGCTTTTTTGATCACCACAGTTTTAACCTCACACAGACTTTATTCCTCCATGTGTCTCTTCTCTTCACACCACGTTTGTAAAACTATATATTATAATAGATCCATGGTAAAACTCAGTAGAGCCTCTGTGTAGGGTGCTGCTGTCTGAACGCGGTCTTGTTTACATGTTGGCTCCACGCGTCTGTCAAGTGCCCGACACATTTGGAGAGATCCGGTCATTTATCAAACTAAAGTATTCTTTCCTTGGCAGTCTGGTGAAAGACTGAGAGTTGAGGAGCACTGTCAAACAGTATAGGCAAAAGTTTCCTTAACTCTACAGGCACCCGTACTCAAATCTCAATATATGAGACTGCAATATAAGATCTCAACGCTAGAGGCACTAGAAATTACACAGTGTACCTTTAAATCCAAGCATTCGGCATCAGCTACCTGAAGTGGGCAGTGTATGTAAAAATGTATGCAGCAATGGTTCTTTTGAAGATATGCTTATTTCTTCACAATTAATTTTTCACAAATGAATTGACAGACAACTGATTAATGTAAATCCTACTGCTATAATCTTTTCAACCTTAGATTCACAAATTCTTTTGTGAATCGCAACCTCTATACATTTATAACCGTGGTTTGACTTTGTTCTCATCTTTAATGTTAATTACAATTAGACTTGAGACGCGTTGCATAAATGTTTAGGGTCATTTCCAACTGCTCCCACTAGATGCATTATTATTGTGCTATATTGTTCTATTTATGCTTTTTCATATTTGTAGCATTTATTTTGTTCACCACATTATCAAACTTAAAAATAAATTTTTCATATTTTTAACTCACTGACTGCCAGGCATTTTCAGATTTGAGAAGTGCATTCTGCCAGCAATTTCAGGTGATTTGACCCAACTTTGAAGTGCCACAGAATATTCATTTTTTAGACGATGTAAACACCAAGGGCACCAAATTAAAGATTCACCTCTCTGCTTTACTCTGAAAAAAACAGTTTGTTTCTACCTCTTACCGTTCTTGCGTTATTTGCCATAGAACAAAGCATACTTTCACCCATAACACCTGGTCTGAGCAAGAAAACAGAGAAAACGAGCTGTATGTAAACAGGAACATATCAAGCAGAAAAGAGACTTTAGATGCATTTTTGCTGCTTTAGTGACAACTCAAAACATCTTCACACTTGTTCCATTACAAAAATTATAAAAACATGACTCTGAAATAATACTTTTGATGGCAAATTGTTGGCAATTTATTCACAGATAGAAAATTTAACTTTCTTCTATACCATCAACCAAAACGTCAAACAACAACAACACAAAGATCAATAAAACTATAGCTGTATAAAATAGAATGAAGCATGTGAATTTGAGTGTGTGTGTGTGAATGTCAGTGTGCGAGTGAGTGTCTGTGCGAGTGAGTGTCTGTGTGTGTGAGTGTCAGTGTGCGAGTGAGTGTCTGTGTGCGTGAGTGAGTGAGTGAGTGCGTGTGAGTGTTTGTGAGTGTGTCCGATAAATCATGATCAGGTTTGCTGAACGAATCCGAGGCATCAGTAACAACAGCAGCTGATACGCTGCGAGAGGCGGAAGGTGTGTCTCTGCTCGGGGCTCTTGCTCCGCGCAAATGTAGCTGCAGAGACGGACCTCCACCCGGGTCTCCCCTCTCTCCCCTCTCGACCTCACTCACTGATCCGCGAGTCAATCTCTGAAGCAGTGTATACTGCTTATAACTATTCTTTTTTGCCATCACTCTTGCTATACTATCGCTAAACTAGATCTGATCCGTCTCAATGCTACGCTATCATCGCTCTGCTACAGCAGCACGCTCTCCAAAGACCCCACACTCCTCCTCCTTCTCTCCACTGACTTATGACCTCTCCTGTGGTGCAATACTGCATCCTACTGGTGGTGATTTATCATTACAGGTACATTTGCACTATATATCAGTGTTGTGGGTCATTAACAAGGTGCGCCAGACATTACTGCAGCCTCCCGTGTAATAACACGAAAAAGTCGTCTAAGTCGTCTTGGGCAGTGAGCGTCACTATACAATAGAACGACTTTTGTCGTCATGGGCAGTGAATGAGTTAAGGATATAATACAACATAATGCATGATATATATTGTTGTCGGTAAGATAAAAGTGTTTAAAAGTTCTGAAATATTTCCAGTAACCATTTGCACGTCTGTTACATCAATCTGCTGCAGGCTTCGGCTCGGTGGTTCAGATGTTCCCGGGAGGAGGTCCGGTCCGTGCGGGGCTGGACAGTTTTGGCTTCCCTCCACATTTTCACCACACACTGCATGAGTTTCCCCTGAGCCGAGTCAACGCACTGCTCAGTGGAACTCTGGAGGCTGAAGGCAAAGTCCCAAATGCTGGTGAGCCACGGTTCATCTAAGTCAGAATGATGGGATTAAATATACTGAGAGCGAGAAAGTCAAATCTGAAGCCTTAATATTAAGTACGTATAAAGTAATATTCTCAGTCTTTTTATAAAGTTTTTAATCAAGGTACTACATATTTTCCTCAACAAAACAGTCCTCTATCCGTGCTGTTTTATGTTTAGGTTATGCTTTCCAGTCTTCAGAAAGTACTTGGTTCACTATGATCAATCTTTACATAATATCATGAACATGGCTGTTCGTTCATGATCTAAGCATTGCCTCTTGATTGTCTTCTGTTATACCATGTTCTCTAGGATTTAATTTTGAATTTAAAACAAAGTTAAAACAAAGTATCATTGTTAATTCCAATTTCTACCAGGTGATTGTAAAAGTCTTTTATTTCACATTCTAAAACATGAAAAGTCAGAGCTCCAGACTAACTCTTTTTGGGGCGTTCTCAATCCCAGGTCAAACAGCCCAGAAAATATTGTTTTTGACCCAAATGTATCAAATGTAATGGGGGTTGTATACTATTATATTAGCATGCATTACATTATTTTAAATACACATATAATCTTTATCAACGGATGTCGCCACCCCTTAATACCACCAGGGTTTTTTAATCACCTAATGAGATACAGGAGTAAAAGCTTGGAAGTGAAGTAAACAAGTGTGTGCCTTGATCTGACTGTGGGAGGAAGAGGAGGACGGAGCGCAGCGGCACATTCTACAACATTAGAGGGATACAGCTTCGCCCAGGGACCACATCAAACTGTTAAAATGGCAGTAATGAGCACTTGTATATCTTTCATGTTCTGTGATATTCCAGTTTATGTTCAGTTTTATGAAATGGAAGAGAAAGTCTGATTATCCCCTGGACGACAGCACTATGTTAGTCTTGAGTATTTACTGGCCAAGTAAATATTCTGAAGATCATGATTTAAGGGCGAAATTAACACAAATTTTGCCTATATTACTTCACCGACTGGGGATAGTTTGTGGATTTTTCCCCGATCAATGTCCTGTAATATATTGTAATTAGCAGTGATGCACCGATCCAGCTTTTTCAAGTTTGATCTCGATTCGTTGCCTTTCCATCTGCTGACACCTGTTTTGAACTGAAAATCTAACAGAAAGTGAAGGCCAACCTACGCTTTCATTACGTTACTGTGATGAGCTTTAAACCCGTCGCTTGTGACAAAATAAAGAGCAGAATAAAAATTTGTATTGAATAAAAGAGATCCACTCTTTCAGGAAGATTTGGTGTTGCCCATCTAAGCTTTGCAAAGTAGTTTTTGGGGTAATTTTGTTATCGATTAAAGGCGTGAACTTCACAAGAAACAAACCATGCATGAAAACTAAATGCCAAGTTGAATACTGGTTATTCTGCTCTGTACAGATGAACAGGCGTCTAATACAGAGGGAGAGAAGCAGGGCCCAGAGCAGCAGGGCTCAGAGCAGCAGGGCCCAGAGCAGCAGGGCCCAGAGCAGCAGGGCCCAGAGCAGCAGGGCCCAGAGCAGCAGGGCCCAGAGCAGCAGGGCCCAGAGCAGCAGGGCCCAGAGCAGCAGGGCCCAGAGCAGCAGGGCCCAGAGCAGCAGGGCCCAGAGCAGCAGGGCCCAGAGCAGCAGGAGACATGCAGTGCTGCTGACACAGAGCAGGACCCCGAAGAGCAGGAGAAGGACAAGCGCAGAGAAGCCAAAGTAAGTCTTCATAACCATCTTATTACATAACATGATTTTCCCTATTAGTAAATCTGTTACTAGAGCTGTGTTGTTTGCACTGAATGCAATTATTTAAGTCTGCTGCAATAGGACCATTTAAGAAATGTCCACCTCAGCAGTGATGGAGCTCTGGAAGAGACCCTGCTGACACAGTTCTATTGGCTTACCACCACTACTCTATTTATTAAGAAAAGGAATGTAGATTTCAAGTGTCATTGTCAGTACAAACCTGTTTGTGTCTCACTAACTATGCAAAACAGAATTTTTCAAGTCTTAAACTTTTGCTCAGGCTAAATTCCTTTCACACTAAGTAACTTTTCTGTTAGCAACATTACTTGAATGAAATTCCTATTAAATGTTTCTTTCCCTTTGTTTGTCTTTTAGGAGCAGGAGAAGAAGCTGAGGTCTGATGAGAAGCGTAAGAAGCTGCGTGCTGCTGCTGCGCTGCTCGAGGGAAGGAACGCTGATGGGTGAGAGTCGCCTTTACGCTGGCCTCATTCTGACAGCCTCCAACACGAGATCGGGGCATGACACCAGCGCAGTCACACTGACCATTCTAGCGTGCTCATTTCTAGTGACCCTTCCAGTAAAATCCATAAAAAATAAGCACGTAAATAGTCATCAAAACCTTTTTGATTAGATCCCCCCTTTAGTCATGATTGGTCAAGGTTTGAAAGGGTTTGGCTTAACCAGTTTCAAACAATGCCTAAACCATTACAACAAATGTAAGAAACATATTCAATCCAATTGCTCTCTTCCCTGCCATCCAGTAAAACACACATCTGTTGTTGACTCATCCCACACAATGTTGGTGCCCTAACAAGGGCAAGAAAGTGATGGCTTTGCACTTCTGTGTGAAACGAAATGAAATGGCTGCTTTATATAGCAATATCCTGATTGATGGACAAAGAATCTAAAGCCAGGACAATGTATTGCCTCCCTCTGCATGGTCGCACATCCTTCATAAAGAGCAGCAGCGTAACGCCGTTTCCCTGGGCCAGGTAAATCATCGTATTTTATGAACTCTCATTCAGCTACATAAAACAAGGGATCAATCTCAACTAAGGGCATTAAATTGTTGATCCATTCAACACGACTTGTACACCAATCAAACTTCTGTCCAATTGTGCAGACAAGCACTTTCCAAAAATAAAATGTGCTGAGGCTGCAGGTAGGTGTGAAAGTCATTTTAGTGATAAAATGTGCCAAAATATCGTAAAGGAGGCTTGCAGAAATGTGCAATGCAGCCCTGTCCATTCAAATGCTCTCCTTAAAAACAAATCCTCAAACTAGTGATGGAACCAAATTTCAAATACTTTTAGAAAAGTATGTACTCTCTTGTTCCCATAGAAATCTGAAATGTGTTGGATTGCTTCTGTTTGGTCATTGCAGGTTGGTCATCGCCAGTCGATTTCACCCATGTCCCACCTTAATGGGTCTCCTGCCGCTGCTCGCGCCCTCCAGGCCTTTTGTGGTGTACTCCCAGTACAAAGAGGTGAGACCCTGACCACTGTAATTTACTGCAACAATAACTGCCCTTTTGGAGTCGTGTCAAATGAGTTTTCTTAGTGAGGAGTCAATATTTGTTTGCTTTTATTTATTACATAACGACAGTAAATTGACTTTGATACATTTTTCATTCAATCCAAACAGACCATGAAGGCTTTTCGTTTTTGGGGAAAATAGACCGTGGAATAACCTGCCAAAAGTCAGGGCACTTTCGGATCTGCACCTTTTCATTTTAACGTACTTACATAAGCTGTGAAATACTCACGTATAATTATGACACTACTTGGGTTAGATTTCTATTTTGTACACAAAGGTTTGGCGTATTATCACCGTGGGGGAGGGGGGGGGGAGAAGAATCGGCACCTGTTGTGGCATAATGTTTACATGTTCGCATCACAGCAGATCAAGTTATCAATCAGCAGATGTTTTCTTTTCTCAAAAAAATATGCGCGGAACACAGGTCATCAGGAAAGTTAAAGGAGCTATACCTGATTTATCTCAGACTTACTTGGCAAGTTTATGTATATATCACAATTCATACACAAGGCAAGTCAAAGTGCTGAACAAAATAAGAAAGCAATAAAATCATAAATAATAAAAGTAGCTCAGTTGGTAGAGCATTGGCCTTAAGGCCAGAAGGTTGTGGGTTCAATTCCCACCTCTACACCTTCTCCACCGACTCCCACTGATGACTACTGTTGTTGGGCAAGACACTTAACCCCACTTTGCCCAAAGCCCCTGCTGGAAGATCTCAGCTCCTGTGGACTCACCACCTGCAGAGGATCAGTGAGGGGCTGGTGCTATGAGATTTGGGTGGCATCTCTGATTGCCACCCCCCTGACCCAGAAATGGATTAAAAGGGTAGAAGATGGATGGATGGATGGATAATAAAAATATAAAATCCCTCAGTTGTATGCACAGCTAAACAGAACTGGTTTTAAACATTGTCAGCGAGGAGGCCTGTCTCACATCTTCAGGAAGACTGTTCCAGATTTTAGCAGCATGAATCTGAAAAGCTGCCTCCCCATGTTTAGTTCTGACTCTGAGGAGCACAGGGACTGGACTCCTGTTAGTGCCCAGAGTCCGGGCTGGTTCATATGGGACTAACATGTCACTAATATATTTTGGTGCGAGGCCATGGAGAGACTTGTACACAAGCAGAGCTGTTTTAAAGTCTATTCTCTGAGCCACAGGAAGCCAGTGCAGAGACCTGAGAACTGGACTAATGTGGTCGTACTTCCTGGTTCTAGTCAGGACTCGAGCTGCTGCATTTTGAATGTACTGCAGCTGTTTTACAGCCTGTTTGGACAGACCTGTGAGCAGGCCATTGCAGTAGTCTAACCTACTGGAGACAAATGCATGGATAAGTCTGCTTTAAACACTATGTTTTTGATCCTGGCAATGTATTTTTAGATGGTAAAAATCTGCTGATGTTACTGATTTGCTGTATGCATAGAACCACTTAAAAAAAATTCTGTTTGAATGAAAGTAGAAATGATTGCAATAACCTTTAGACCGATAAAATCTCGTACAGTGTAAGTATTTCAAAACATGAAGCTATATTCTGGGATCCCTCAGTCTCATGTGAAATCTACAGTTCTAAATGAGTAACGGACGCGCTGATATCGCCATTGCAATATGATTCAAAGCTGCAAGATGTAGTTTAGCATACTGTAATGGGCCATTTCCAACGCCCCATTGCAGCCCTCATGTTATTGCTTAGGTGTGCGCTCCTTAAATTGGTCACTTGCCTTGATTGTCAGCGTGTCGACTCTGCATTTCTCATTATTTGGTTTCCCTCCGCAGCCGCTTGTCGAGTGCTTCACTAAACTCAGGGAACAGGGAGACACAGTCAACCTCCAGCTCACCAACACCTGGCTCCGGCACTATCAGGTACAACTCTTGTATTTAAGGAGACATACCCTGTACGATTGTCAGCTTTGGACTGTGTTGTAGATGTTTACCAACAATGTTTACCAACAATGTTTACCAACGATGTTTACCAACGATGCAACTATTTATTGTAAAAAATGTTTCATACTGACAGAGAATCTGACAAACAAAACATGTGAACTCAGGCTTTAGAAACACATGTAGATGTGTTTATAAGTGGCTGCGTCTGCAATAGGGGTGTCACGGTATGAAAATTGAACCTTAAGCCTGGTTCACACAAGATGATTTTAAAATTGTCGTCCAATTTTTTTCTCCGTGTGAGAACCCACACACGGAGAAAAAAAATCGCTGGTCTAACCACTTTGGTCGTACAGTGTGTGGTGCGCAGCCACACGGCAAAATCACGCAAACACACATCACACACGAACCGATTTCACCCCCGAGCATTCACAGGGGTAGGTAGGGGTAGGGCGACAGTAGCTCAGTTGGTAGAGCATTGGCCTTAAGGCCTGAAGGTCGTGGGTTCAATTCCCACCTTCTCCACCGACTCCCACTGATGACTCCTGTCGTTGTGTCCTTGGGCAAGACACTTAACCCCACTTTGCCCAAAGCCCCCGCTGAAAGATCAAGGCTATGCTCACACTCAGAGCAGCCGTTCACCTGTGGACTCACCACCTGCAGAGGATCAGTGAGGGGCTGGTGCTATGAGACTTGGGTGGCATCTCTGATTGCCACCCCCCTGACCCAGAAATGGATTAAAGGGTAGAAAATGGATGGATGGCATTCACAGGTCACCGGAAATCTCACAACATCTCTCGAGATCAAGCGTGACTTCAGAGTAAACAGAGTGTGCAGGCCTCTCCGCTTCACGCAGCCTATAGAGACTCTCGTCTGACCACAGCAGCCACAGACACCATGAAGACAAACATACATTTGGATTTTACTGCTCTACAGTTCTCTGGCCCGTACTGTCTGTGCTGTTCAACAATACAGTTTGTACGGACTACCTGTAGTAGTAGTAGTAAGTAATCTTTATTTATATACCGCCTTTTCACTGCAGATCTGAGTCTCAAAGCGGTTTACAATTGTTAATTTTTGGGCATTTGTCTCTCACTCCACACAGAGATGGGAGCGGGGTCGCCAGTACAGGAGGCACATGCCAGAACTATTGGACATATTTTTAGTGGTAGGGGAAACCGGAGTACCCGGAGGAAACCTACGCAGACACGGGGAGAACATGCAAACTCCACTCAGAAAGGCCCTGGTCTGACCGGGATTCGAACCCAGGACCTTCTTGCTGAGAGGCGAGAGTGCTATCCACTCAGCCACCGTGCCGCCCACCGTGAACGCATCACACACACTGCTAGACATTAAACTTAACATACGCGCAAACCAACAAGCACGGCTGCAGTAACTGCTGCATCAACACGTCTGTACTGTATTAGGACAGAGTGCAAAGTAAACGTACAAACACAACCCATCAGTCTGATCATTTAGTACTAATCCCGTCCGAATAGGGCTTATGCCAACACCACCTGTGCAGCAGCAATTTCTGCCCAATTCCTCTCCTTGTCATTTCGGTGATGATATTCTTTACACGACACGTCTTACATACATTCACGGTGTTGCCAGAGGTCAACTTTGTTCCTCCATCTCTGATGTCCACCAAACTTTCTGGTGCGCCATGCCGCTGACAGTTTTTTTTTTTTTTTTTACGGTGTTTCCTCGCCGGCTCGTCTCGTCTTCTGATTGGCTACACGGCGCATTCATGGCAACGCGCTCGTCTGTCCCCGGGGGGACACCACACATGAAGAGAAATTGGGCCAAAACAATCCAACATGTTGGATATCCCCAATATTGAGATCGGAGCAGTCCCGAAGTCCTTCCGAGCGACGAGCACAGTCTTAACACACCACATACGGCAGGAAAATCCATCTGATTTTTTGTTACAATATTCGGAGCGTTCTTACGATTGTCGTAGGGGTAAATCAGGTCCAAAATCGGCCTAATTATCCTGCCGTGTGAACCAGGCTTAAGTTATTGTGACCAAAAGTATCATGGTTTTCAATATTATTGTGGTATTATTTTATTTAAAGCTCAGTGAATATGTTCAGAAAGCATTGATAGTGAACATTTGGTTGATAACATCCACTTAATTATAATACACGTAGTGAATGTCACTAAAATAGTTTAAAGAAAAATTGTTTTGTCCCTTTTAACTAGTGCTCAGCAATGCTGAGGCTTCATTTCACTGTCTCATCACTTACTGTTTACCTGTTTAGCTTAGCATATTAGCTGCTAATAGGCAGCTAGATTAATTTTAATTGGCTGGCGTTGGGCAGACCCTGGTCCTCACAGCCGCAGTCATGGACAGATGTTGCAGGACTGAATTTGAATAACTCGTTCTTCACCATATTTTTAAAAATATATTATATATAATATAATTAGTTTCAGGTCTGATATAATCTTGTCCGACTCTTATTTCTTGATCTCTATTCATTCAGGTGCTTCCCAATCGGACACATCCGTTGCTGTTGATGAGTGGAGGCGGTGGCTATCTCCTCTCCGGAATCAAAGTTTGCTCTGGCCAAACCAAACCGGACTTAGCCAAACCAGACAGGTCTAAACCAGACCAGTCTAAAGCAGTCGGGTCCCAAAGCAACAGCGAGCCTCCTCCAAAGCGCCTGAAGACCATGGACAGTGACGCATGAGGCTGATCGCTGTAAGGACTGCTCTCTCCTGGGGACGTCCTGCTGAACTGATATGACACATTTAAATGAGGAGAAAGACTGTTTTGAATATGTCTGATAGATGGTTTTAGTACAGAGCTTCTCAATCGTGGGACAAGTCACAATATGACTTTTTGAGCATGTAATGCTGCAGAAGATACTAGAATAAGTGAAAACACTGAACCTGATAATTAACGGGTAGTAAAAATATATCTCTTCAGTACATTTCTGTTTAATTTATTAACATTTTGGTAGAAGATTGAATAAGTCACTTTTCTAGCTTAGTGCTTGATGGTGGTGGGAGCTAGGTCTTTCTGTGTAGAGTTTAAATGTTCCATCTTGTGTCTGGGTGGATTTCCTCCAGGCGCTACGGTTTCCCCATCAATCCAATCATAGGAAATATCATCTAGCAAAGGTCCTGACTAAGCAGAGCATCTGGAGATAGTGCCCCAGGCCACTGCTCCTGACAGGCTATTGAGAAATGGTCCACTGAGCTGCTTCTGCCATTTATAACCATTGTGTCAGAAGGTTCAATACTGACTAATGCAAACTCTTATCACGCTGGTCCATATCCACTTTGCACAGTACCATCAAAAGGGTTGAATGGCAAAAACATAAAAATATAAATTTATAGAAGGGAACAATCTTAGCCATAGCACAAACGTATTCACCCCTCCACCAATCAAATCTTATTTTTGATATTTTGACAACAATTTAATCTTTGAGCTGCATTTGTAAATTACATTAATCAGCCATGCAAAGTGTAAATGCACTGATATTTTTTGTTCTTGAAAACCCTCAGATCAGGTGTTAAACAAAATCTGCCTTTACTTTGTCATATCTGGATTTTAAGTATTTATTTTGTTCCACAGAGATATCAGTCCAGTCTGTGTAAGTATTTGTTCAGAATTAAAACTGCTTACTTTTGGTCCAGGAATCTTTGTTTTTATTGAGCAAATGGGACACAACATTTAAAGTATTTCAATAGATCCATATATTTTCATATACATTATTTTTATACAAACAGTTACATTCCCATGCAGATTTAACCACACAATTCACAAGTACAGATAGAAGCAAAATTAAGAAGGCTCCAGGAATGTTGTTTTTGTTGTCTTTTTCCCATTCTAAGTACATTAAACAGGTCTGGTATGTGGATGATCTATGCAGCGTTCTCATGCAACTTTCCAGCAATCTTCTGCAACTCCATGTCCATCGCTGCAAGATTTTGCAGCTGCTGTTCCTGAAATGAGAAAGGAATGACATAAGTTATTTCAATGTATATACATTTGCAGTTTAAAGTTGATTAATTGTGCAAGGCAGGCCGCAAAGAACACATAGAATGTGATAAAGTGTGAAATCAAAGTGCATTGGTCAAACGGACCACAGTTTGTGAAAAACCATTTTACAGTTTAGTCTTATCTTCTTCCAGAGAGACTAAATTACTTTGGGGGCCAGAGGAGTCCTTAATGATTTGCAGAGCTTAAGTTTTCATTTCAGTTTTGCTGACAATAAGAATGTTTGGATTATTAAAAATGTTATTGTCTATCAGTTGTGTTACGTCCCGTGTACTTCCATGGTTGGTACTCAAGACAACTTACAATATTTTCCATATGTCAATTGTGAATGGAGTTATTTTTACCAACCAGCATGTTTAACTTTTATTGATATTTGAAATCTGCAGTATACATATTGTCCCCACAAATTTTTTACATTTCTTGTTTTTGAGGTGCCGAAGCTGATCCGTGCAAAACAGATGGTTCTGTCTGTTGTAGCCAATCAGTGCATAGAATGAATGTTAACTGTATGTGACACATACTACTGTAGCCACAGCTGCCCTCAGCAGACCAATGAAGGTGAGGCTGCCAATTTACACCATTCATCACCAATTCACACTCACCAGACTTGTCAAAGCCGTCCCTGGGGTTGCTTTGACTGCAGGTGTAGCATTTGCTGAAACTGATATATATATATTATATTATATAGTATATATTTTTTTTTTTTTACTAGTGACAAACATGTTACTTACATTACTGATTTCAAATGTGGTGGTACATATGTTACCTCAAAACTCTTAGAGTAAGCTCAATATGATTGGTTACTGAGCTACTTACTGTATATTGATTTCATCCTTATGTTTTGTATTAAAAATGGACTCAGTGACACATTGCTATTGTTGCATGTCCTCAGAGGCGTGATCAGTTATGTAGGACGCTTCCTGACATCCCACTGCACATTCCATTATTTCACAAATGACATTGTGCGACGGTGCGGTAAGATTTGATCAGTGGCTTTACTGGCTCAGCTGAATAATAGAAGTACAACAGGACTGTACGGCTGCATTGTTGAGCTTGGATAGCGTTATATAAGAATAGGGATAATTGAGTTCGGGATAGTTTTTAGTTTTTTTTTTACCTAATGCCCTGAATGTCCAAAAAACAAAAATATACACTACCATTCCTGCTATCTGATATAATATATATATATATATATATATATATGTTTTTGTTCCTATACTAAACTATAATATGAAAACTGTGGGAAGCAGAAAAGACAAAATGCAGTTACAGTGAACACTTAAAGCTGGAGTACCTGCTATTCAAACCACAATATAGAGATTTAATGTTTGTGATAAAATCCATGTAACAACAGTAACGTATTTCTTTGCCCTCAAAACACTTTAATTCTATCACTAGTATTCACACATGCATGTATTTTAGGCCTCTGTCTCATCTTTAGATCAACTTTTTCAGAGAGAAGCCCCACATTCACTCAGCCAATCAGCTCTCACACACATGTTTTATTTTCTTGAGATTGGAATCTTTAAAATCATGTATAGAATACCAGGGTAGCCCATACACAACTATTACTATCACTGCTTGCAAGTTAATAACAATACTTGGAAAATAATTTGAGCTACCCTCTGTAATACCCTTGCGCACCCCTTGGGTCCACTTACTCTCAGCTGCATAACACTGATCTAGATGCATTATTGTGTCCATATTTGCGGAATAATTTTGTCTCCTTTGATAATTACAGAGATTACAATTGAACTAATGGAGTAAACTTGTCTCCAGTTAGAAGCGCTGGCCTCCTGTGGGCTTCTGTGCTGCAAGACGTGCTGCTTATTGCCGGGAGTTGATTAGAACGGTCGACCAGCTGCTTTATAACTTAACTATTTAGCCTGTTTCTCCATCTGCGCACAGCTACGAGATCAGAGTGTGGAGAAAACGGCTAAACGATGTCTAAATATAGAGGCATTAGCTTGTTTTGTTTTTTTACCTTGTCAGAAGCTGCAGCATCTGAGCTTCTCTTGGGTTTGGAGGTTCGGTACATCCAGGGGTTACGCTTGTCTAACAAATATCTGAAACAAAATGCATTTATATTTTATTATTACGGAGGATTTATAACAATACAATTCACTGCTGAACTTTGTCATACTGAGATTTGAGTAGCATTAGCTGTTCCAGATTATTTGATTGAAATAATGTTAAGTTAAAGTTGTCAACTATCTTCTAACTAAATGAGAATTATTGAAACTTTACATACTGTAGACTTAAAAGAAGAGGTCTTTCGACTCTTTATGATAATTATATGACTGCATAGTCCAAAAAAATTGAATGAAAAAATCTCAAGTCAAGGCTTTGTTTTGGTCAAATGTGTAAATAATAACTATATTCCCTGAACTTTCTAATTATCAAAAGAATAATTAGTCAACTATTAGATTATCACTATGACCTAATTTGAATTTCGCTTGGTTTATCAAAAATCCTACCCAAATGGATGCAAATTAATTCAACTCTTCACTGCCAAATGCTAGTTTATGGATGGATATATTGGATAATCAAAATTCACATAAAATCTTGTCACAACCAAGAGGTAATTTAGAAATAATTTCAAACATTGACCTCAAAACCTAATTGTTGTGAAATATTATCTCACTGGGTGCCAAAAAAATAGGAAAAAAACATTTTCTGGGCCAGATGGCAAGAAGGAAATTTGTCACAGATGAAATTGTTGCCTGGATAGAGGGATAGAGAATTTCAAGCCCTCACCTCAAAACCTCATTTTTGTCTCCTGCGGCTTCATCATCACTGGCCTCCTCTTCCTCAGACGATCCATCACGCCTGTGAAGTCTCTTTTTGTGGTGGTAACGGTGCGTGGGCTTCCAGATCCTCTTTTCCATCTCGTCCACTTCGTCTTCGTTTATCTCCTCGTCTCTCTTGTCCAGACCCCAGGATTCTTGACTGCGTTCACCTTCGTCTTCCTCCCCACGCTTGTGTCTTCTCTGGTGGTGGCGGCCGGATCTCCAGTCCCTCTTGTCCATGTCGAAGTCCCAGTATTCCTGACTCCGGTAGTTGTCTGGTTCAGTGAATTCCTCATCACGTTTGTGTCTCCTCTGGTGGGGCCTGTAGCGGGGCATATGTGGGAAAGTCATGGAATAATCGTTTTAAATATTAGTCTGTTTGTGTTAATTTAGGCACTTTCAAACCATAAAAACTTAACCCTAATGCACCCTCATTTGCAAATATAAAGTTCAACACTTATGACAAAAGAAGACTAGCTTTTTGGTTGAATACAGAAGGTAATCTACGTACCCAAGAACCCAAAAAAGCAAATATGCTACATTGCCAAATTTGGTAATTGAATGCTGCTTTCCAAAAGTAGCTCATATAGTTCATTTCAACAAATATTTGAATGTCTACAGGTTTTTTTTTTTTTACTTTTGTTTTAGAATCTGGAATTTTATCTGTTTAGATTTCCATTTTGCTCTTTCCATAAAAATAGAGACGTTCTTTATATAGGCAAGGTTGGAGCTAAAAGTATAAATCCTATCTCTTTGCTGTGAAGTGCCCCAGGGCTCAATGTTGGGACCTCTTTTATTTGCATAGAAGTGTCTTTTTCCAACAAAAAAATGAAATTCAGTTTATAATTACCACTGCGTCCCATGCTCTTCATACTAATCAATCGATCTGTCGCTTTCTAGTCATTGATGAGAAAAAACATAACCATTTCTTCACAGCAGCAGAAAAACAGCCTCTTCATGTCTTACTGTGTCTCCAATCCCACTCAGCAATGACACATTATTATTTAACATGTTACTGTCTACTTTATGGCATCACCAACCACAGTTTATCCAGTCACTAAATGGTTTAATTGCATTTTATTGATTATTTATTGAATTTCTAATCTGCAAATCAACAATTTTGTAACTCTCCTTGGGGCAAGCAGTAGAAGATATAATAGTGAAAGCAGTAGCAGCAATTGTGATACCAGCTTCAGTATACACTAGCAGAAATAGTAGTAGTCGTCGTAGAAGCAGTAATATTAGTAGTTAAACTGTATTTTATGGAATCTAGAATGAACTCAAACATGCTTTTTTCACCCACATCTTACTGCCCCGACTTCCTCTTTCCTTAATCCCAACGGCCTCAAGGGTGGATTTGACTTCCAGAGCCTGACCACTACCAAGTTTAACTGTGAAAGCAGAACTATGATTCTTTGATATAGTTCTGTATTCTCGGAAGGAAGTTTGATAGATTTCAAAATATATTTCGTTTCACTGCTCCCAAAGCAGGTAACCCAGCTTTAAGCAGTAGCAGCAGTAATAAGTGGATGTTTCCTTCAGTGTCCTTTCTTCTCCTGTTCGCTGATTTCAGTGGAATTGTCTTTTAATCATCTATTTTATTCCACCAAAGTATCATCGTTAAAAGTCTCTACGATCACCTTGAAAAATACAATCCTATTTTAATACGGCCATTATGAGGAGGATTAATAAATGCTCTTCGGGGCCATGTAGGGATCGTGGAAGAGTTTGCTGTAATTGTTCATGTGCTAAAGCTCAGGTGGATGTTGAGGTCAGTGCATTTTCTCTTAGAAAAGCTAAGTTGTTAAGAACTACTGTATTTGTAATTATGTGTGGGGGATATCAAATATAAAGAATGATCGGATTAAATATTTTACATTCAAATCATGAGTTAAAAGCTAAGTAATTTGTCTGATTATTATGTTTCGATGCCAAGAACAGGTTGTTTTTGTGTTTGTATTTCTATTTCAGTTGGAGGGCAAGTGCCTATTCTACTTTAAGACAGAAAGTAAGTAATCTATCTGTTTATAGTGCCATTCACAGACCAGATTCACAAAGCGCTTTACAGTTGTAGGCATTTGTCCTCTCAGTCCACGCAGAGATGGGAGTGGGACTGCTGTATAAGATAGAAGCCATTTTTTTTCAAGAAAGGTTGAGGTTTTTCTTATGTCTGGAAGTCCTTTTTATTGGTCAACATCATACATATGTTTTTGAATATTGTCTCAACTTCTTGACACCTTTTATGACAAAATATTTAGACTACAATTAATATGTACTGACAGAGACGATATGAAACTATGTCAACTTTTGTTTCATGTGGAGTGGCGCAGGAAAAAGAGCAAAATGCCTCTAAACTAAGATTAGGAATGTGACTTCTGACAGTTACAATAGTTACCAGCACAATTTGAAACAATAGGCTTTTTGGAATGTCGTGATCTCACATGAACCTGTAGTGTTTGTTGCTGGAGAAAGAAGGTGCTACTGTCTGTTTTTGGGATGCGGCCGAGATCTTCTTACCTCCCAGCTCTCCAGTCCCTCTTCTCTCTTGGGTCCAAATCCCAGTATTCCTGGCTCCGCTCATCGTCCGGCTCTTCCCTGGCCTCTTCGGACACCTCCTCGTCCCTCCTCTGTCGTCTTTGGTGAAACCTCCCGGATTTCCAGCTGCTCCTTTTGTCGCGCTCGTCATCCAAACCCCACGACTCTTGGCTCCTCTCTCCATCCTCTTCCTCGTCTTCGTCTCCCCGTTTGGAGCGCAGTTTCTTCTTGTGGTGGTAGCGGTGGGTGGGCTTCCAGATGCGCTTGTCCACGTCCCACGCCTCCTGGCTGCGCTCGTCGTCCCACTCGGAAAGTCCCAGTCGTTCCTCGTCGCGTTTGTGTTTCCTCATTTGGTACCTAAGCAGCAGAGGTGGTCAAGGTCAAGTGGTGCATTGGTGGACATTGCTAGTACACATAGATTCGTACAGTACAAACATGATTTTAAATAAATATAAACATGTAGTGAAAATGTTACTTTTTTGATCTTTTTACCACATTACAACATTGTTGCCTCGTCAGAAACAGACCTGGAGTTGTTTTTAGATCCATACACGCTAATATCAGGAACTTGCATGTACAGTAACTCCACCCCTTCTGTCTCAGTCCTGTGTAATAGTATGATGTCATTGTACCACTATGACATCACATACAATTTCTGGTAATTTCTCAAGTGAAATGTAATTTAGGGTTAGGGTTTTAAATGTTCATCTAAATCTACAAATCTACAATTCTAAATCTTAAACTTGTTTCTTCCCTCTCATTGAAGTCTTTCACTGAGCACCCAGAGGACACACAAAACAAGCTATTATACTCTCATATCTATTCATACTTCTTTTGAACTGATAAGAGATCCCATAGTGGGTACATTTCAGTAAGTAAAGCAAAAATGAATTAAATTGAATTTCCAAAACTTAGAAGCCAATGTGACACCATCTGTGAGACAGCTGGTTGCAAATGGACCAGGATCATCAAGAAACATCAAGAGCTGAGGGCCTAATAGTTAAATGTCTCCAAACAACAGTTGCGGATTTCCCTCAAAAGACATATTTATGCAAAAACTATCTCAGAATTAACACAAAGTTGTTAAGAAGAAGGGTAAATTGTCTCTCTGCTGCTCACAATTGCATTCACAAGCTGTAATACATTCCAATGTGGAGGCTTTATGCAACGTCAATGCAAACAGTGTCACATAAAGGCTCTGCTCCACCGTAGATGAAGTTATTGGCCAGCCTATTTATTTCCTTGGGTCAACGATGTCTGCGCAACTCTATGTATCACAGAGTCAAATAAAAGCAGCAACATTTTTATAGACTGTATTGCGGTCAGAGGAACCAGATACTGCAAAAAGTTCCTTGCTCTCCACACAGTATGGTTCCATCCCTAGTTTTGACATTTTCAGCCTAAGTATGTAAAGATAGAGAAGAGTTGTCTCTGCGTCTCTTTCTGTAGGGAAAATGTAATGATCATGAGATAATCCTAGTTTACTGGGACTTTCACCTGGGCCTCCAGCTGGCTCTCTTGTCCACTTCTTCTTCATAATCTTCCTCCTCCTCTCCTCTCTTGTCCAGTCCCCAGCTCTCCTGACTGCGGTCGAAATCCGGCTCTGCCCCCTCTTCATCTCGCTTGTGCTTCCTCTGGTGAAATCTCCCTGGTTTCCATCCACTCCTCTTCTCCCTTTCCGCTCCTTCGTCTCCCAAACCCCATGATTCCTGACTGCGCTCGTCTTCAGGAGTCTCGCGCGTCTCCCCCACAGTCTTCAGCAGAGTTCCAATGTCTGTAACGTCGGCTCCGTTGGTCCCGGGAACTTCGGCCTGCCCTGCCAGAAGCACATCACTGCTCTTCTTCTCCACGCTCGGAGCATTTTTGACTCCTGGAGCACAAAGACACAGATCAGGAAAAATCAAACATGACAAGGAAATGAATGGAGTCTGATATGTTTGCAGGTTTTTCATGTTTATCACTTTATGCTCTCATTACATTTTTAGAGTATTCAATTTTTTTTCTTTTCCAAAAACCATAATGTTATCCACAATTTTCAAGAGAGTAACAATACAAATACGGTTGAAGTATAATGTTATTCTCAATCCCTAATGCTGTCCATAATTGTTATTCTCAATAGGGGATCAAAATACAGATGATGGTTGAAATATGACAGCAGAACATATACATTATGCTACTAATGTAAAACTAAATATTATGGAAATTCTATTTACATTGTCTATATGCTATAAAACATTATAGCCTGTTTACAGTCTGTAGTCCAATTAAAAAAGGTGAATAGTCCACCAGAATAGGCATACATATGTGCATACTTCTGTGGCTCTTTTAAATAAATAAAAAAATATCTAGAAATCTTAAAAACAAACAAATGAAACAGCCCTACATGCACTATATGATTTCTTATTGTTTCAATTAATGTACAGCAGATCTGCAGCACTCGTATCCTACAACAAATCTCTTAGGGGCAATAAAGTGTCCGACTGTACTAATACTAAACATAATTAAATGAAATTATCTACTAAGATCTCTCTCAAATTTGTTATAAATATTTGTAACGTATTGCCAAAACTCAAAATTAATCTTTTCTTATATTTAAAAATAGCCAGATATTTTCACAACAATATCCATCCATCCATCCATTTTCTACCCTTTAATCCATTTCTGGGTCAGGGGGGTGGCAGTCAGAGATGCCACCCAAGTCTCATAGCACCAGCCCCTCACTGACCCTCTGCAGGTGGTGAGTCCACAGGAGGACGGCTGCTCTCTGAGTGTGAGCATAGCCTTGATCTTTCAGTGGGGGCTTTTTGGGCAAAGTGGGGTTAAGTGTCTTGCCCAAGGACACAACGACAGCAGTCATCAGTGGGAGTCGGTGGAGAAGGTGCAGAGGTGGGAATTGAACCCACAACCTTCTGGCCTTAAGGCCAATGCTCTACCAACTGAGCTACTGTCGCCCTAAAGATGCAATATTGTTTCACAACAATATTGCATCTTTTTTAACAAGTAAACAGATAGACAGTTTCCAAGCATTTTAGCCTCACGCCTGCACTTTTTTTTGGCCATAATACTACAGGCAGCTTCATAAATCGTATACATTAGGTCCAATAAGCCTGAGGTCCTGCACACCTGCATAAATGATGTCTTTACACTCTTGGTCGAGCTTCGCGTCGGGTTTGGAGAGCGCTTTGGACAAGACTTCCACCAGGCAGCGCGTAACCTGTGTGCAAGCCAACGCAGCGGTTAAAGCAATCCATGTTTATTATGATTGCGCTGATTATGACCATCATTTAGTCTTACCACGTCCTCCCGCTGGCCCTCTTTGCCCACTGGAAGCGCTCGGGTCTCTGCGGTCAAAGCAAAAGTCCATTAGAAAAAAGAAACCGCGTCAATCGCTGTCCGTGGTGCTGAAACCGTCCCGTGGCCAACTTCAAAACGTTTTGCGCTTACCTGAGAGAAGACTTGCGACCGATACAAGCACGAAAAGGAGTCTCATCTTGATCATGGGTTGATTTTTATCCGCACGAAACTGTCCCCAAGCAACTCCCAACTGTGCAGGGAGCGCGCTTTGCTCTGAGGACTGGCCACTATTCGCCTCAAATATAAAGGAGCGGAGTGGGCTGGAGACGCGCGTAGGAGGAAGGCTCAGGGCGCGTTTAGTGTCATGACTCCTTAGAGCTGATTTTTTGGGGGGGTGAGCATTGGATGTCGATATTTGACTGGAAACAATCATTTGATAACGTGTTTAGTGCCAATAGTAGTTTCCTCGGTGCGCAAAGGAGAATTGTCTAATAATTGGAAGGGATTGTGGATGTCACGAGGAGCCCCGGGACACGGACACTCCATGGTAGGGGGCGGACGCAAAACATCACGGAGTGGAGTCGTGCGCGAAATACTGAGTCATTAAAGCAGGGGTATCTGATGCGTGTATTTATTGGCCTCTGTCACAGCTTTAGACCAGCCTTTTTTAGACAGAAAAGTGAAAGGGAGAGGACCACGCTATACACTCAGCTCAAAGCGTCAACCAGTGCCTCACAAGGCTCTTACAAGTATGCATAAGATGTTTTCTGATACGATGAAAGGCAGAATGTGGAGGCCTGTTTGGTTCACAATATTTTTACTTTTATTAATGATAGTAGTAATGCATTGGTTTTATGTAACATTGACACTCAAAAACATAATTCTTTCACTCCATACACGATGGGGATGCAGACTGACGTAAGTGAGGCAACCAGAATGTGCCATCGGCCCCTCTGACAACCACCTTATTCTGAAAAGAGAGTACCCCAGATTTCAATGACTGCTTGTAGATAAAGAAATTGCAGCATAAGTATAGTTTAGTTTGACAATCGTGGTTGGGTGCATCTCAAATGGTAGATTGTAGATTTAGTATTCTGAGCATGTATCCAAATTCACAGCCTTATAATCAACATTAGTCATGGCTCTAATTAAACAGCCCTATTGGATGTTATGTCATCCGAAACTCAGCATTTTATCTCTTTGGCCTCATACTGTATTTTCTTTGATGAAAAATTTCATCAGAAGTTTGCCAGTTATGTAATGCTTATGCTATGGTGCCCCACTTGAAAATGTTTAAACAGAAGGCTTTTTCGCACTGCAGCCCTGTTTTTTTTTTTTACACAACAGTGGGATACTTCAGGGTTCATTCATTCGAGCCGGACAGACAGGAACCGGTCAAAATAAAGATTCAAAACAAAGTAAAGAACTTTATAAAGGAGTGGAAATGACATGCTTTCCATTGTATTTATATAAACTCCCAAATATATCAAATACAATCTTTCATCATTACAATTTCCTGTAATCTGATTCTGATCTATTCTTGGTACATATTATAAACCTTTTTTTTTTTTTAGTTCATGCATTTATGAAGGTGATGGGCAGATCAAACCCTGTAACACACTGAGCCTTTTTTTGCCAGATTGTTTCAAATGTGTCGGAGCCTCTGAGCTAGCTCATACCAGGCACACTATGTAACACTGAAATCTAGTGGACAAATGTAATCATTGCAGCTTCTGAATACTTGAGTGCACAGCACAATTTCACAATGAAACAAAAATGTTAGAAAACACTCACTTGTAAAAAATATTTTAATGACACACTATAAAAATGTATCGCAAACCATGGACATGTTTTCCACTTGCAGATGTCATTAAAGTCACCATTTATACCAGGGGTCACCAACCTTTTTGAAACCAAGAGCTACTTCTCCGGTACTGATTAATGCGAAGGGCTACCAGTTTGTTACACAATTACATATATTGCCAGAAAAAGCCAATTTGCTCAATTTACTTTTAACTCTGTTCATATTAATAATTAATGATATTTATCTTTGTGGAAACACTGATCATCTTAACAATTTCTCACAATAAATATATATAGAAACAGATAAATATCAATATGCAACATTTTTCAAATTGAACATTTTCAAACGATCACTTCTTGTGAAATCACAATATCCCATTTTAACCAACTAGCCACTAAAATTTTTAACAAATCATGAATAACTTTGCACCATGTTTATACAAATAATAACTCATGTAAAATACAAAAGTCAACTCTCGTCACACGTGATGGTGATCTCACAGGAGTTTAGAAACCAAAGCAGTCCCATCAGTATCCTCTTTTAAATCTCTTCTTAAAACCCACTTTTATCAAACAGCTTTTAACTGTTTTAAACTTCCGATGCTGTATTTTATTGTCTGCTTTGTCTTTGTTGAGTCTCTTTTGTGTTTTGCTCTGTTTGCTTTGTGTTTCTGTATCTAATTATTTTGACCTTGCATTATGACTGTTTTTATTGTTTATCATGCTGACTGTGCAGCGCTTTGTAAACACTGTTTTTAAAAGTGCTATATAAATAAAGATTATTTATATTATTTACGCTGCTACTTTCTCCTCTTCAGAACAAAAACAACAGTGAAGCTGTTTGAGATCATTACATGTGTTTCTACTGTAGGTTTATGTGACAGTTCTAAACTCATCGTTTCAACTCATTTAACTCTGATGTTGTGAATAAAGACACAGTTCTTGTTGGAAACATAGTTATTATTAAAGTGTATTCAGCACAAACAGATAATCAATAAGTGGTAAATATCTGAGAAAAACACGAACTATAAGTGCAGTAGGAATGCAACAGACGCGATAAGCTACAACGCAAACAAGACAGGAACAGTGCAAAAGAAACAACTGCACAGTTTATAAGTTATATCAGGCTCTGCCATGAGACCAAACTACTTTTCCTTCGGTTCCTTCGAAGCACAAAGCAGTCTGCTCCGAAGTGCCTCGTCCGTGCTCCCTGCAGCCGCTCCATGCTTCCGTCCAAAACACACACACGGACCAATCACAGCGGAGCTTGTCTGCGGCGTTGGCCGCGTAGTATTCGAGGGTGCGTGGCAGGCTACGTTAAGGGCCTTGATGTGATCCACGCGTTGCGCAAGTGACGTCACGTCACCTCCGTAAGCTCCGCGCAGCGCACTAGGCTTGAGTGCTACTATTTGAGCTATTTTTAGAACAGGCCAGCGGGCGACTCATCTGGTCCTTACGGGCGACCTGGTGCCCGCGGGCACCGCGTTGGTGACCCCTGATTTATACAGTAGCGAGTTAGCGCCTCTCCAGTCTATGCTACCCACTAAAAGCTGTCAAACCAAGTAGACGTGTCCAAACCATAGACTCTGAACCAATTCAAAGGTGGGAAACCTATTAAGCCAATGAGACGCTTCTAAAGACCGACAGTTGCTACGAAAAGCGAAACAGTGGCTGCAGAGAGTCATGTGAGCGGCTGTTTCAAAACAGGCTCCAACGCAGTGTCTCGAAGCAGTTTGCTTCAGGAATAGAAACACACGCTCCAGAGCCTTGGTGTTGTTTGCCCATCACTGCTTTTAATTCAACTTCAAGTCTTGAAGTTATATCGTTGCAAAAGCTTATAAGAGATATACTGTAAGTTAGGATATATTTTGGTCCAAATTTCCCAAAAGTCTGTTCGCTGGTTTCTTGACTCCAGTGATCTCTTGCTTCTGAAATATTTATTAGCCTTAGAGCGAAAGGCCACAACACTGACTCTTCTCACCAAGGCCCCCACATGTTGTACAGAAATGGACAGTCACTATGTGGAAAACCAACTTACAGCATGAAAAAGTAAGTGCGATTTCTATGGTCATCAAAAACAATGTATATCATTATGACACACATGGACACACACATTTCACCAACCTTATTTGTGCTGCCTTGATTAATTAGTGTTGTGTTTAATTACATTTCTCTTTATTTATGGACCAATTTAATTTGAGTCTGAAATAAATATAATAATGATATTGTTTCCTAATATCACGCAATGCTCATTCTTCTGGTGCCCAACTATGAAACTACGCACCTATGCAGCTTGCTGATGCCTAACCCACCTCAGCTCCAGTAGCTCCTCTCAAATTTACTCCGAGCTCCTCCCCCTATCTCTGAGCCCTGGATTCCACATCCCGAGACTCGGCTCAACTCAGTCTCAGATCCACCACTTGGCACTCTCTGAGAACTTTACTCACAGGGAAAAAATCAGGTCTGACTGTGTGTGGCGGGGTCAACCTCTACAGTTCAGATTGCTCCAAACAGAAAAAAAAGAGGAGGGCTGAGCAGACGGAACCCAAGCGGAGGCAGGAGGCTGGGTCTGCGGCAAAAGTCAGAGTGGGAACATTAGGGAGCGCCCAGCCTCTGCAGAGAACATTACGTGCTGATATATATTCTGGCTTGGTCCACACAATAATCAGAAGTTTCTTTGAGTAATTCGTTTGACCAAATATCCACAGTTGTCAAAGCACAATCCTACATCTTTTGTTTCTTCGTTGCATCTTGTTAGACCTTTATAGTCACGTTCCAGGCTTTGGTTTCACATTTCACACAGACCATGTTTAGTGGCCCCTGAAATGATTTTCTATCATTATCACAGAAACTTGCAGCATTGATGGTAAAAAACAAACCAGTTGTGTGATCATGAATGAGTTGTGAGAACACCTGCGTTTGTATAATGTGAATACTATAATGTATAATGTGTTTTTAATTGTGTTGAAAGTCCTCCGAGGGATGGACATTGCAAACTTGCCTTGGCTATAAATGGTGTAGTATGTCACATGTTGATTGTGTGCACTTGTCCCTATCAAATAAATACATTAAATAAATGAATAATGGGAGACTATGACATGTTATTTTTCATTTTAAAGCCTGTTATCTCAGGAAAACAACCAAGTAATTGAATCTGTTCTAAAATGTTAACTAACTTCTAAAAAGAAGTTAAGGCTTTTTTTTAAATATTGAACAATACATCTTCAATTACATATTTTTTGATATTTGGCCCAGTTGTGATTGAATCCAAACCTTACAGAAAATAATATTCTATTGTCAAATAAAAAGGATTTGTCAAAATATGTAAAAGAAATAAAGTTAATGAAACACTTTTATTCTTTTGGCCCCAACCTGCTCTTATGTTTTTTCTAGACATGGCTC